GCGCAGAAGCATTGCATACATTTCCCGCTACGTTTCAGTCACACACGTAGAAAATGACACAATTTCAGCACTCACAATCCTGGAAGTCTCATATGAAAGAACCGCGTCCATTTCGCTGCGTCGAGTTGCTCCATGCAATGACATACGATCTCGAGTCGCGACAATCTGCAAGCCAGAGGGGAAGAGTGCGGAATGATCAAGAAGAGGTGAAATGTAACGACGGTAGCTGCCGCCGGAAGAGACTGATGATGTGAGGAAGTCTGACGTCCAGCGTTCGCGTTGTGATTAGCGCACTAGTCCGGATATGGCATGACTTCCTTTCCATCACGCTCGCCCAAACCCGGACAACAATTCTACTTTGACTTCAATCTAGTTGCAGTCCTGTCTCTCTAGTAGCTTGGCACAATTCATGCTCATGTTCATCTTCTCGGTTGTTCCAAGATCAACTCGGCAGCTTCATACACGTTCGATAAAGAGTGTATTGCACCTTTGCTATGCTTTACCATAATTACCTGCGAGCATAAAACTAGTTGCATCCGTAATCGCCGCTTCTCAAAGCTACTAGTGAATCTTTCTCTTTGACCATTCCGGCCTGTGTTGCCGACTGTGAGGTTGAAGAAGCTTTGGGGTAGATGTTACCTCGGCATGTACCCGGACGCGGAAGGCCTATCGATAAGGCGAGCTCTGAAGCTACAGTGCTGCCATCGTTGCCTCTCTTTCAACCTCCAAACCTAACAATGTCTACAAACATTCTGATTGTCGGCGCTGGCGCCATTGGAGCGTTCTATGCATCTCGACTCGCAATTATCTCTGGTGTTTCCGTCTCTGTCGTCTGCCGCTCCAACTACAAAGCTGTGAAGGCGAATGGCTTCCAAGTTACCTCACCGCAATACGGCGATTACACCTTCGTGCCAGCGAACACGTTTGCGAACCCAGAAGAAGCGCGAAAGAGCGACATACAATGGGACTACATAGTAGTCAGCACCAAGGCCTTGCCGGACGTCAGCGATGATTCGACGATACTTGAGGGGCTGGTCAGCGATAAGACAGCCATTGTGCTGATACAGAACGGTTTGGGTGTAGAGGAGCCGTACGCGAAGCGGTTTCCACAGGCGGCAATCTGCTCGGCCGTCACGATAGCCACATGCGCTCAGCCCGAGCATGGCCAGATCAAGCACAACAGATGGACGCGGATAAATAGCGGACCGTACCTGCCTCATCTAGATACCGGAAACAAGAAGGATACCGACGCACGCGTCACGGAGCAAAACGACGCGTTCATTGCTCTGCTGAGGGAAGGCGGTATCAAGGATGCCGAGGCCTACTCCCATGCTAAACTACAACTAGTCCGCTGGCACAAGATCGCCATCAATGCCTCGATGAACCCAACCTCCGTCCTCACCCAGTGCCTCCCGAATAACGTCATGTCTCTCGACCCGGAACTGCAGCGCCATCTTAAAGGCGTGATGTTGGAGATTCTTGAGACCGCTCCCAAGATTCTCGGCGAACCCATGCCCAAAGAGTTTGCTACCCCAGACCAGATCATTCGGTCTACCCAGAAAAACACTAGTGGTAGCAAGCCAAGCATGGCGATCGACTGGGAAGCGGGCAAGAAGATGGAGATTGAGGTTATACTAGGTAATCCATTGAGGATCGCCAGGGACAGAGGATACGAGATGCCGCGCCTGCAGAGTCTGTATGCGATGGTCAGAATGGCGCAAGAGGTTAGAGACCAGAAGAAGGATGTCAAGTTGTAAGGTAGTGGATTCCTTCTGTTCATTGTCTTTTCAATTGCTTCCTCCATGGCTTTCCCCCTCTTGATGAAGCGAGCTTTTTCGCAAACCGCAAACCACAAGTCGACAGGGATTAACCAACAATGCAAAGCCCCCTCCAGCCGCCTATTTCAATTTGTCGCATTGCATTAGAGACATTGATTTCGCCCTGATTCATATCCATGCCGATTTCTGAAAAGAATATATACGTGCAAAGAACCAGAAGACTGTCCACACCTGGTTGTTCTTCCCAAGATAGTAATCTCAGGACATGCGGGCCCATCAGAAAGCATTGCATCCGGGTTGGCGTCACATCTCTCGCATCACACGACCGCTGCGAATATCTCAAACATAGCGCGCTATTACAAGAAGTGGCCGGGATTGAAGTGGAGGTAAACGCGGCATCTTTGCCATTTGCGAACCCTAACATACAGGCAACAGTTGAGTCTTTTGTTATTGAACTGTCTCCAATATTATTTAACATAGAGCGCATTTCTGGCGACGCTGATTCTGGTACTACGAAAAGAGCGATTCAACATTGTGAGGGCTGAAGAACCGTGGTTCTCTCAGTAGCAAACAGGATCCATGTGAAGGCACCTCTCACCAACGCCTATTGTTACCAACCGCAGACGATAGATATAACAGTTTGGTTTCTACTCCGTCCTACCGGTATTCTTTCACCACCAGTTGAAATATCCCATAACTTTCCCTTCCGCCCTCAACCATAGCTTTCCTAATACACCAAGCACAACAACTATCACGACAACAACCAGCACTGCAGAAAGGATGAATAGATTCACCGAAGAGCAGTTGCAACAGCAGTGGAGATGGACGCGAATGACGCCACATGAACAGCAGGAATACCGTGATCGTTTAGCTCAGCGCAATTCTCAACAGCAGTACGTACAGCCACAAGGGCATCAGCAGCAAGCAGCTGCCCGCCCAAATACCCCCCGAGAAGTTACGGACAGGGCGTTGAGCCACAATCAGTCAGTCAGTCATCCGCAGCAGGTACCGCGGCCTTCACAGCAGCAAGACGGGCGGCCAGAAGGACGGTCATCTCCACAGCAGCAGCAGCAGCATTCGCAACAACAATGGCAGTTGCGTCAACAGCCTAATGCCCAACAACGACCGAACCCTATGCAGTTCCCCGCACAGTCTTTCAACGAAACGCGACTTCCCGGATCCAGTGGTATGGCGCCTCCCCCAAATCCAAACCGTATTGGAATCTTCTCGCACGCTCAGGCTTCAACACGCTCAGTACCAAACGTATTTTCTTCGAACAATTTATCCGGTGCGAATATCACTATGACGGGAAACGGCCAACAGCAACGCCAGAATGTAGCTCGGAGCACATCTAAGCCATGTGCATCAGGTCCGCTATCTGCATCCTCCCCGTCTTCCGCTTCGTCTAGGACCCTTTCACCCCAGAATGGAGCAACAGCACAAGCGTCGACGACTGGTACCTCACCCACTAAATACCGAAAGCCGGCGACACCTGGCGCCAACTCCCATATGCCTGCTCTGCCGCCGTCTACTACGCGAACGCAAAGCCCTGGATCGGCTCAAGTCACAGGTCAGAAACGCCAGGCAACAGGCGCGCCTGAGGGTGCCAGGCCTGCAGACAAGCGGCCAAATTTGATGACACAATCTGGTGCCGTCGATCATACCACCTTCGCACGCCAAAATACCGCTACGCCTCATCAGTCAGGCGTATACCATCAAGCAAACGGCACCCCAAATGGTGCACCGAATGGCGTCGCCCAGATTATGAGGGATCCAAACTTGGAGTGCTGCGAGCAGCAGGCTAAGCTTGATGCGAAGCATGAGGCAGAACTCCAGCGCATACGGGAGCACCAAACTAGAGTAGCTGAACAAGCTCGCGTTATGGAGGAGTACCAAGTCGCTCAAGCCGCCGCCCTCCAACGAGAGAAGGACGACAAACGAAGGGAAGAGCTGCGAAAGGACCCAAGCGCAAACTACCGCCACATAATCGAGGTCTACAAGCTAATGCCGCTGAAGAAGGGCGAGTTGCCTAATAAATATCTATTGGGGCTGATCGCTAATCGACCGATGCCGATGGACCTTGACAGCGACCTTGCGCTCGCGATCACGTACGCCAAGGACCATTGGGACTACTACGGACAGTGGCCCAAGGATGTAGCACGGTTTGCAGGCTATGAGAGAGAGAGAAGGGCCAAGAAGCTTGCTTAGAAAGCCGAAGAACCGAACAGATGTGGCAGAAAGCCTAGCGACGGCATTACGTCGCAGTCGGAGCGCTCGAAGCTCATTAAGCAAGCCGCCGATACTAGAAGAGCAGTGGCAACTGGTGGCGTTCCAGCGGATGAGTCGCTATCGTATATCGAGGGGAAACTAATCTGGGGACTGCTACAAGCAGGATATATAACGTCACCTTATGGCATTGCTGAATGTTCCCTGTATAACGCTACTAAGGCTACGTTTCGTTAGAGCTCGATAGCGCGTTGGGTGTTCACTTGGTTTAGAAAACATGCAGATGCGGGTGGTATCATGCATGGTATCGGTTTGGCTGGACCGCACTCTGTCATCGCTTGCATTATTCTTCGTCTACAAATTCATGTTACAATAGACAAAGAACAATTCTTCGTTACACCGAGTTAGTACCGAATTAGTTCTGTTCACTCGCAAATATCTGTGTGACACGACGCTCGTAAACTCTTCCAATTGCTAAATGCAAAGCGGAAGCTTGCTCCATCGCTTTCCCAGCTCTCGTAATCATCGACTACGACATAAAAGGAAAATCTTTTTCGATGAGTACATATACGTTAAGAGCCTTTCCATAAGGTCTTTTAGATAACTCAGCGACGGCAATGCTAATACCAAAAGGTACCCAATACCCTGCCTTTCCAGTGAACTGAATCATGGTTGAAAATCTTCCAAGGTTCCTACCCTTAGCAGTCCCTTTCTGATTTTTCAATGACGACTGATTCGAATCATATTTGAAATGAAATGGTAGTGTAATTAGAGCGATTTGCACGAAATTGCAGGGTCTGGCGAGTTCGTCGCTCCGTTTATGACATTAAATGGGCGTGTCGTTTCCAGACGCGACTATTCCTTACTTAGTCCAATTCACTTGCAGGAGAGTATAGGGTGAATAGTACTGCTAGTGGCCTAGGGACATACCCTGCATCGTGGACGCTTTCCTCCGACTGAAATTCATCGCGACACCATCGACCTTTCGCTGCGACCATGTTCACCAACAACGATGCTGAGGCAGGCGCTATGTCAGCTCCAACCAGTCGGACAGACCCCTTGGCCACAACCAAAGTCAATTGTCCTCATAAGAGGCGCCGTTCACGGGAACTACCACAATCAGAGCGACCTGCTCTCCGCCCTCGCGCCGATTCATCAAACGGACAAACCTCTCTAGCACCGAAGCGAGACGAAAAGCGATGCTTGAACGATAACGCCGACAAACCACAGGATGGCATAACACTGATACCATTGTACCCAGACGAGATCAACTACGCGTAGGCATTGTTACCTTGCAACCCGTGATCTTCGGGGTTGCATCTTCTCCGCTGAATGCTTTGCGATCATTCAAGCACAATGGACACCTCACACCCACACAAAGCCTTCTCATGCCTCAAAATCCTGCGTCTCCGCCTTTCACTTCATACAAATCTCTCAAAGGTGGCTTCGCTAGCCTATTAGACGACAGCAAAAGTGTCCTAAAGAACTTTGTAAACACTAAAGAGGAACTGTTCGGGAAGCCTGCTGTAGGTTATGTCAAACAGACTCGTCTAGCGCGCGATCCAGATCTTAAGAAGGCCTTTGACGTCTGAAAAGACGTACCACTTTCGTCTAATATAGCAAACACAAAATCCACAGCTCCAGCTCTACTAGCTGATAAGGCTGGCACCCTAAAAGATGGGTTAAGGTCGAGAAAAAAGCCATGGGAGATCGGTCGGGAGCCAGGTCCTATAGTGAGAAGACGGTGGAAGAGGATGCGAGTAGAGGAGGGAGAACACTATCATCCCAACGTCAGAGACTTCAGATTTTTATGCAAGCGAAAAGCTGAAAACGATCTTCGAGAGGGTAGTTTCAAGAGGGTAAAGATGCTAGGCGATCAGCCTTTTCTTCTAGTAAAGAATGGTGGGAGTCAATCTTCACCAGTCCAGGATTTCACTTCTGAGTATTTTACTGTGGTCGTAAAACCGCTATCTTCGGAGAATCTAGAGGAAATACCCGATGTAGCAGCGTCAGATCAGAAAGATCCCCTAGTTCGCAAAGTCATTTACAGTCTGGCCAAAGCGCAACAAACACCAATCGCTGAGTTGGAACCCATACCCAACGACAAGTCTTTTCTTCCCGAGATCGACAACGAGACCTCTACCAGGAAGCCTCAGACATCCAAAGATGATGGGAAAGTCTTTAGACTCGCAAGATCCGCATCTCAAGGCCTGCAATATACAGCCGGTGAGCCATCGCAATGCCAAGAATCTTCTACGGACGATGAGGCGGCATTCAGGGATCTCAAGAATCACAGAGCGCCGCCACCAGCTGCTGAAGGTATTGTCGCATCTGAAGCGGCTTCAATAATCGTGCCCACAGTTCCATCATGGATTGCTGAGGGCTCGCAATACTCCATCAGGATAGACGTAGCCTATAGCGAAGGTTGTGATACTGAATACCCCAGGAACTGCGAGCACTACCTTGCCCAGCTCACCGCTCGGCCTGAATTTCCTCGAGCAAAGGAGTATGAGTATTCCCCAATGCCAGATATGTTGGATGTTGAGATAATGAACCAGCGGTTGAACTGGGTGGTTCCTGACGATGGCGAAGCTCCCCGTCTTCTAAGAGAATTACCAGTACCTCCATTTCACATTGATTCGGAACTGGCTCGTTGTGTTCGTTTTGCGCAGTCAGATTCACAAAAACGGGTTGATTGGCGAGTTCACCCCAACCACGTTGCTGAGATTATTCAGCGTACCAACTTTTACGGAATGGAGTTGTTGATCAGCCGGGGCTTTATGCACATATCGTGCCCTCCGACCATAGGTGAGTTTGAGCTAGCTATAGAAACTCGGCTTGCACATGCGTCCTTCAGGAAAGACCCAGTCGCCTACGTTGCGGCCGACGTTCGAGCCTTAGCAGACTATCTGGTGGAAGATATCCCTTCAGCAATGAGCTTTATCCTGAAGGGAGAAAAGTACCACTTCAGCGATTTTAGTAAGTTTTATAGCGTGAAATTTGAGGCGATGTACCCTCCTTTCGATGCTATCGGTCTACCGGCATGGCGTCTATTAGTGAAAGGTGAGCTGGACCGACCTTCGCTCAAGGCCTAAAGCCTACGATACGTCATCGACTCTATCGAACAGCAAACCGCTCAAGCCCTGAGTGACGGAAAGGATTCACAGTCTCTGGTAGACGAAACATCTGTTGAAGATGTTCAACCAAAGAACGAAGATGTAACCAGCCGCGATATGAATCGCGGCTCAGATCATGGTCTGAATGGTAGAAATCTCGAGGATGGTTTTGGCTGGACTATTCGTAAGCGCAACGCGGATATTTGGAGCCTAGACTGCATCCAAGCGTGGGAAGACTTCACAGCGAGCCCAGATTATCAGTCGGATAACCAAGGAGCTGTTGGAAGTTTTCCTGGTTCCATCTACGACAGCGTGGCTGAAGGAACCCTCCAATCGATGGCGGGCTTGTACTCGTCGCATACGTTCTGGTCTAATCAGAATTCGAATGTCCCATGGAACTCTGCGCAAGACGTCAGCGCATTAAGCATAGACGATATCAAATCTGTGGCTTCCACTGTGGAGTCATTCTATCGTCAGAAGACTGGAACCCCGTTCGACGACGGGATAGAGACGAACGAATGGTTGTGAAGGTATGCCGTTCGAGATCCTTCATTGAAGAGACCGAACACGCGATATCAAGCGCTGGTTTCTTTACAGTCGGGTTCACCAATGGCATACTTTCTAGAGTTTGGTTCCGTGTGGGTCGCGGTTCAAAGACGGAAGTCGTGAGTGGCTTGCGTTCGCTACCGTGAAAGACAAATGGATGGGGATGCCACGATCGGTACATGGACAGCAGCCGCACAGTCATCGGAGAGGACCGATGCGATAACCCCATGGAATATGGTAATCGGATTTCATAGATTCGATGGCTCGCAGTGGCCGATTGGAGTGTTTTAGTAGCAGATCTTGGTAGCATGACACGCCAACCTTGGATAGCCTCATTGCCCACAGCAATCTCGGATTTTCGTAGGAGGGGAGGGAACCAATCTCTGGGGGAGGGAAAACTGTTAAAACCACGGCGATTTGGAAAGAAGAACAGTAAAAAAGTAACAGACACCGCTCAACTGTACTTACCACTTCCTTTTCCCTGACTACATCTTTAACGAGATCTTGTCACACCTCTCCTGCAAACAAAGCCGCAAGGTATCGCATCCCATCAAGTATTGAAGAAAGAAAAGATACGATATGCCTAGAAGCGCACCAAAAAGCAAGAATCCAGTCGGTCGTCCACGCAAAGATGGTCTCCCAGCGGGCTATTACAAACATAAGAAAGTCGCCCAATCGCACTCAACAGCGCTCAGTACAACTGCCTCGGAGGTTACTGGACAGATTGAGAAACGACCTTGCCGCCAACCACGCAAGAACGATACCTTGCCGGGTTCCAAGTGGGTTAGGAAGGCGTCGGCCGCGGCGCCTACCGTCCAGTCGGCACCACAAACAGCGTCTGAAGATTCGCTATCTATATCACCGCCACTACTGCCACCATGGCACACTCCTTCTAAAATACATATCGATACAAGACATAAACCAAAAGCAGGGTCTTTCACCGATCCTGCAATCGACGACTTCTACGATACACACGTCTCTACTCCTTCAGACACGGTGACGGAGTTTGATGATGATACAGATGAACGAGATGGGGACACTGAAGACACAGATACGGAGATGTTTAGATTAGAAGGTACTGAAAGGGTACTAAGGAGATTTAGACTTGACGACCAGAGGAAGATGTTTCCGTTGGTAGAAGCTGAGAACGATCCATTAACGGAGGAAGAACTAAAAGTAGAAGCACAAACAGAAGAGCAAAGACGAGAGGCATCACGTCAACGCCAGAAGAAAATGTGTGAAGCTCACGGCTGTTACAACTCGGATTGCCGATTGAATCATGTAAGGAGAGCGAATCTGGATCTTTTCTTACAAGGTCTCAATCAGCGTACGAATGAGTTGGACGAGCTCACAAGCCAGCTGCACGAGATCAGGGAGGCAGTTGCAGAGACGGCGGCACCAATACGCGATGCGACAGCAGTAGAAAGAGGAGCGCCATCCGCGTATGTCATGGAAACAGAGACGAACCATGAAAGCGAATTCGAGACATTATTTTCTGCTATCATGCAAGGCCGTGTGGAGGAACCAGACACGTCAGCCTAGAGAAGAGACGTTCTCGGGATATTCTCGTTGGCGCTGCCGTCCTTTGGATGCTATGACATAAGGAACCTAGATAGATGTTCAAGTCAGTGCTGTATAGATCATTTGTGTGTATGACTCGAAGAACGAAATTACTATGAGTTTAATTATCAAAAACAGACCAAAATCCATGGTGTAGCACATATATGAAGTGATGACGTTATTCTTGTCCAGGAGGCCGATTTTCATGGCGGTGCGTGGCACGCGAGGTGCCGGCGCGATCTCGTTTCGTGGGGCGACCTGATCGCTGAGCGGTCCCACACAACTCGACGACTTCGCAAGAGGAGATCCAATGATATGGAGAAGTAGCCATGCTCGATGAAGCGTTATATTTAGAAGCGAGCATGGGCGAACACAAGGAGACATGCGCTGGTCCTGATCTGTCGTGGTGAGTTTCAGCCTCAGACCAAGGCGAATGGCAAGCTCCCCACCGTCATGTGGCCAGATAATCTGGACGTTGGGGTTTGTGCAGCAAAGGAGCGTTCTAAGTGATCTTATATCATGTATCCTATTGAGTCTCTCTCTCCGCTGTCTGGCTATCATAGTCTCTGTAAATGTTATGTTCTGTTCAAGGTCACAGGACTCGAACGTCCTGTAAGGCGCAACATCCATCACTCTCTTTCTTTGTTGGTGCATAGTGCTTTGAAGCCTCCGAATCTTGTTTGACCTTCTAGGAGACACCTAAGATTGGCGCACAATTTCACAGTCCTAAGCATGCTAGATATGCTGTCAGCCAGTGTCACCTGTATATATGTCAACAATGGCAGACATCGAAAGAGATGTTCGACGAACCGCTCTGCTACCCACCAACACAATTCAGTCATCTCGCAGTTGTCGTGCGTGTAATATAGAGATTCTCTCGACGTCACCGAGCGGCTGTATTGACGATATCGGCTCCTGCTGTCGCCTTTGATCAAATTTTCATAGGCGTTACGAGCCAGGGGCAGAGCCCTTTTTACCGTTCACGTGGACAACTTCCAGGTGTGGGGTATCACTTAAGGCCCGAGTTCCTCCAGCTACATTGCCGATTCCGGTTTCTCGAGGGGACCAGCCTTGCTGTTCCGATTGTAGGCGTTAGTAAGGCAGCAATTCAGCGGATGACCACTTCGACGCGCTAAGACAATCTCCGAGCGAGAGTCGGGTCTTGTCTTGGTACAGCTCTAAGCTAAGGTCCCTTCCTATATATTCATCAGATCGGCTTCTACCATAAGCGTGTCTTGACTTGCATTATCGACAAAACCGAAGTCGGTTAACAACTTCTTCAGATCACCTGTTTGGTTCGTAAGATCTCGCGAACAACTAAACCCAGGTAGCTAGTTTGCTGTTCATAAGTATCAAGTTCCGTCGTCTCGAAAAATTGAAGAAACAACAACGCACTCAATCGACTGATGCTGTTTGCTCTTGATAAGCTGTGCTAACGCCCACATCCCAGATCAACATGGCGAAGCCGCCAGCAACCAAGAAAATCCCTTCGAAGAACAAAGACGGCTCAGACCGCAAGTCTCCTTCCTCTATTTTCGGTCCGCACGCAATCACACGATACCTCTGTATTCCGCAAATCGGCAACATCACCGGTGTGGAGCTTGCGGTGTTTCTTCCCGAGCTACTCCGAACTCCCGGTGTCCTTTCTCGGTTCATTGAGAATGGTGCTGATGCTCAAACTTTGGCCAGGATCCCCGCATGGTTTCGAGCCACGGTGAAAGACCCCCACAATCCCGCCACGGCTGCCAATGCCATGCGCCACATAACTCAAGCGACTATGCGCCGTCACCTTCAAGAAGAGAAATGGACAGAGACTCGCCACAAGGCTGGTCGGTACAAGAAATCTGGGCAGGTTTGGGACCACGAGAACTTGACATTCGCCGGAGTCCAGAATTACTGCGAGGACAACACCAAGGAGGGCCGTAACAAGCGACCGCCTACCCCCAATGTCCGTTTTGCATTGCTAGCAGTTGATGTCGTAGTCTTCCCCTCTGGCGACGACGGGCTAGACTTGACCCGATGTGTCAAGGCAGCTGCAGCTAACGAGGACTTACCCTTGATGTTTCCACGCGACTATGGCTTCCTCACGTGGCTCTTAGGTGGCCCTCAGCTTGCGCGCCCTGCTAATCAAGATCGCGAACTCTTCAATCGCTGGAGGCAGGTGAGCTGGGCCGAGACGCCTTCTGGGCACCAGGCCAATACTACCCAGCAAATTGCCTACTACAAGTTTACGGCAGCGCAGAAGGCGGCTACCGAACAGTATCTTCAACAATATGCTTCTACAAAGCAGTCTGCTCTTGATGCTGTGTATGACCCTATGGATATGCCAATACAAGTTTCTCATGGCTTTGACGTCCCCTCCGCCAGTGGCAATCAGTCACCCAACAACTCTCTTCTCGTCGACCTGCCTATGAAAAACTTCCCAGTCGACTTGGGACGCACTCTGTCTGAGATGGATGAGGATGACATGGACATGCTGTATGTCAAGTGGCTCGTCGCTCACGGAACTTCTTATCTTGAAACCAGTAAAGAGATGACAAGTACCTCTGAAGTTGTGCGTCGTTATCTCGAGCATAATCGCAGTATCCATAGCCCATTACCACCCATTTCAAATGAAGCCCTCGCTATGGTGCCTTCTTCTGGCGCTCTCAACAATGAGATTCTCGGTGCTAGCTATGGATCATGGCCTTCGTCTCCGATGAATTGGCATGTCACTCACTACGACCACCCAGTTACGCCTTTTGATGTTAACGGAATTGACATCGAGATGATGAGGTCTTCTAGCCATGAGATTACTGGTTATATCGGCCCAGAACACGGTATGAGGTCTCCTCGAGTTGGCTCGGAACACACCGACTTTGATTCATTGGACGACGTCGGTTGCGCTCTCGCACAAGAGACACTTTGAGCTCTAACCGTTTCAGGTTCACAACCCGTTCGGCAGCCTCATGAAGAACGCGGCTGATTATACAATCGTTGTTGGAGCATACTGCGTTAAACTGTTGAATGGACACTGATCTCCTGGAAGATTGGAATGTTTCAGAATCTGTTCTGTTGAGCTTGGGTTTCGATGTGACCGGAGCGTTTGGAAGGTCAGATAGCATGACATGGTGCTTTTGGTAAAACTCCTTGGAGGAGTTGGGCGTCTTGTACAACTTTTGCATTATACCCTTGTCTTTGACTTCAGGTGGCCTGAAGATGTCTCCACTCAGTATTTCAGTATCTCATCCAATACAACGTGGCACAATCAGCAAAATTCTGTCCTGTGTGGTCTATACGTTTCGTTACAATACTGAGAACATTTTGGAGATACTCTTCGTTCCCGCAATCTCTTCGATTTCGGCTCAAGCTGCTGTCTGAATGAGCACCCAATTGGTATGATAGGATGCTTATGCTAAGCCTCGTGCATTATCGTATGTGCTTACAGATACAAGATGCGCAATTTTCTTAAGGTTTCGCTGCTGCTTGCAACTCGAAAACGTGGTCATACAATGCGTAGTGCAACTCGGATGATGGAGAGGGTGCAGCATTACATCACACGTTGGTCCTCGATGAAGCGCATTAGTGAAGTGACACTGGCATTCTCGGTAAAGATATGCTGCAAGAAGATATCGTTCTCACTTTTACGTTTTCAATTATGTGCCTAAATGTAGATCCATTGGCATGAATACGACGATGCACAGGCTACAAAGCGAGATCTAGCTCAGAGAAAACCGGAGCGCGAGGCGCAGACTTTTGCTAAGTATTGCCGGTCACCAACCAAATCACATGCCGTCTCTGATAACCTCCTCACTAACCCATCCAATCTCGTGCCTATGCGCTGTGATACACTCAAGGAAATAGTCATACTCCGTCCAGATGCTACCAAACGTAGCGAACTGCTGCTTAGCCCAACGAATGTTCTCGGCCCAGTCACTTGTATCGTTCGGGTAAGGCTGGCTCAGCAGGTGAAGCTCGCGGAATGGGGCGTGGCGGCGAGGGCCATTGAAGCGGGCGTAGTCATACGCAGACGCGTACATGGCTTCCATAGAGGTGTGTGGAGGAGAGGAATAGAGGTAAATACTGTAATCGTCAATCCTAAGGCGGCCTTCAGAGAGAACAGGAGGTGTGAGATAGATCGGCTCGCGGTTGAGATACTCGCGCGCAGCATCCATTACTTCTGGGGCGTAATGGCTGGTCATGAATGACGGCACCCCCCGCTGTCGCTGGGTTTTCTGAGGTGACGGGCCAATACTAATTCAACATTAGCGCGATATCTTGTGACTAACTACTATAGAACATGTAATCGAGCTAACAGAAACACTCTGAGTAGGGACTTACCCAGGAACTTTGAGCTTCAAAGGTCGGCGCTCAGGTACGAAAGCAGTTTTGATATTGGATCTAGCCTTACGCGCAGCAAGGCGACCGCGAGATGTACGGACCGGCGAAGCAGCCTCTTCAACGTCACCCACGTTGTCTTCGGGAATATCGTCGTCAGGCTCTGACTCGCCTTGCACAAACTCATCATTATCGGTGGATGAATTGGGAGTGAGCGGCAGGCGGGACAGCTTCCGTTTCTTTGGGGGAGTGTTGTAGGGCGAGTCGGAGTAGTCCCTGTCCTGGAACCAATGTCAGCAACGTCTTTAGACACCATCATCGCTGAATTGAAGTTCAAGCATACCGAAACATCTATTTCAGGCTCTTGAGTGAAGTTGATCTGCCTACCGACAAGCCTACTGCTCCTCCTCTTGTTGCCATTCAGCACCTTTCCCAGACCATCTACAGCACGCTTATTGGGTGTTGCCGACATCGAGATAGCAACCGAGTCGATATCGCGAATGAATGTTCTGTTGATGCTGTTTGGTGTCTGACCTTTACTGGGTGTAGACTTGACAGGTGAAAAGACGTAGTTGTCGTGACGAGCAAATACTTGCCTATCGTGGTGAGCGAGAGTGACTGTCGCCGGACCGCCGAGGTGAGCAATGAGACGCTGAAAGTCTGTGGGAAAGAGCCACTTTTCCTCTTCGTGCTCGATAGCGTATTTCACACAGCGGGTAAGGTCGAGTGCGTCATCACCAGACGGATGATCTTTCACATGTAGCGCGAGGACCTTGAAGTCCAGCGGCTCACAGTCCTCGTTGACTTTGACCTTTTTAGGTGTAGCAGTAGTGACAATCTTAGGGTGGGTACGGTTGGGTGTACGGAAGTTCGTTACGCTGAGGTCGTCTTCAGGTCTTGGGATCTCGCGCTCATACTCCGCGTGCGACCCAAAAGTCCAGTCCAAATAGCCTGCGCGTCGCATAGCGTACTTGATCATGACCATAGCAGAGTTCGGCTTGAATTCTTGGCCCAATGGCTGGACCCTAAACTCGTTGATCATAGCGGCGAGGTGGCCAGCTTTCGCACCATGTACAACAAAACGGTCGACAACATCTATGGACTTTAGCCAGTGCGGGAGGTACGCCAGAATCTCGGCAGCGGTCAGATTGCCGTCTGGGAAAGGGAGGTTCCAGCTTGGGCAGTTTATGCCAAAAGCATTGTTCTTAGCAATGGAGGCCATATCGACTGATTCGATAGTCAGTATAAGATTCGCTAAGCACGCGAAGGAGCCAGATGAATGGATTGTGTGTAGGAAGAAGCTGTATGGGTGACAGGGATCGCGAAGGCTGCCTTACTCAAAGTGGATGTGCGCAGGTTTTGGCAAAATTCGACAAGCAGACTGATCGTTGCTGTTTCCTGACTGCCAATCCGGGGGTGTGCTCAATAGCTAGGGACTTCCAATTTCCAAGAAATGTTGCAAGACACCTGGAAGTTGGTACTTCGGCGAAGCGGGGTGTAGCTAACTCAAGCGAAAGTTGCTCCAGATGACGCTCGGACCGAGCGGAGTGGCTGTTTTGTTGATGTTGCGATGGCCATAACGGAAATGCAAGGCACGCTCTAGTTACCACGTGCACATTCCCCAACCAGCACGGGGACTAAATCTCACGGATGCGCAGTGCATGTGTTCATAACGATGGATCATCCACCGTCGTCGAAAACGTCGTCGAAACATCTTACCGTTGCACCGCCGTCTTTTAGACATCTTCTTTTCTCGACAGTAACGACTCACCACATTAGTAGCGCCGTGGCATCAGCAACAGGGCCACCTATAGTTAAGCCACGGCCGAAAGCAAAACCACGTAACGAACATTATAAATACGGTCTTGGTCCAAGAGCGCCTCCAAGGTACCTCCCCTTTCCAGCGCGCGCGAACATTACAGCCGTTGAGCTCCTAGTATATCTCCCGAACAGCGTGCACTGTGGCGATGTCGTATACCGCCTGATTACGAATGGCGCATCTCCGCATCTGCTGTGGTCAATAGTAAACACACACCGAGATCTGTTGGTGGAGTGGAATCAGAATACCTGTCGTCAAGCCATCTACGAAGCCATGCATAGAGGCGGATATAAGAACTGGCGGTTCAAGGCACACAAGACTTTCCATCAAGGGAGGAAGTCGACCTGGGACGAGAGCAATCTGGATGCCACAGGGCATCTAGCATCCGGACCAGGCGGTGCGAAGAAGACACCTGCGAGTGACATACCATTCAAGAACCTAGCCGTGGACGTGCGACATGAACCTCAAGGTTATGACGCGCTGGATTTGACACGAATGGTCGGATACTGCATCAATAATCCACACGAACCATGGTTTTACCCCCGCGACTACAATGCGGTGTTGCGGCTTGTGGGCGGCGCAGCTCCCATTCGACACGAACATAGCGATCGGCAGGCCTTCAGGCGACGGATCGAGGTGAGCCCTCCACCACCACTGAGCGCGTCGACAAATTCCCTGCTTGTAATAGATGGAAGAAACAAAAAAGGCAGAAGGAAGAACTCGGGTAGCATCGTAGGAGATATATTAGCATTGAATAAACGGAAGAGACCAGACACGCTGTTAACAGCAACTCCATCAATATGCGAGACAGTAGCACCAAAGACACAGCAGGAGGGCAAGAAAACTAAAGGCAGGCTAAAGAGAACAGTAAGGATTGAAGAAGAGCAAGAGTTCGCGAGAATTGCTAGAGAGGACGAAGATGTGATGATCCAGGCTAGTCAATACCTTCTGGCGACAGCATATGTCGCTCCTCCAGGAAACGCGATCATGCCCTGGGAGGTAGCAACTGAATCAGACGACGAAGCAATTGACTTAGCGTTCGCACGCGGAGGTCAAGTGGGTGAGAGTGGTCCGCATAGCGCTTATGCTTTTGGTGGCCCTCGTCGTTCCCCACCATATCGACAGCTCTATCGCATCGATCTTCCAGATCCAGCAGACGTAAGCGCATGGGCAGAAAATCTGCGGTGGGCTTTTGCGCAGAACACGCTCTTCCGCTGCCCATGCCGCCCTGACGCCTGGAACGAGAGTTCAGAACACATGGAGTACATTGTGCAGATTCGGGGAGATCGGGGCTGGAAGTCGGATGAGTTCCTCGCTGAGGAAGAGAAGTAGCGGGTAAAGGATGCGACGATATTGAAGTCGAGAGTGACTTCATCCTGGCTGTTTGACGGGTCAGGTTGATGACAATAGTGTTGTGTCATGTTGATCGCACGTCATGCACGTTCATAGCAGCGGATGCGCGCCAGGAAATAGTGCCGTCAGCTCCTAGCTAAGCAGATATCAATGAGATTGTACGAGCACATGCGTGGTACTGAGGATGGTCGTCTGATGGTTTCGCTATCAGTGTCGCTGGGAGTGATGATAGAAGGAAGAGGTGAGGTGCCACGGCCCCGCAAACCTCAGGCTGGGCGTTTCGGGCAGGCACGGACTAGCGTCGATCATTGTTCCGACCGAAACGAACGTCGAACACCTTCCAAACTTCCTCACCCCATCGTGACAACCATCGCCCTTGCATTCGCCTGTTTCACGAGAATATGGCTTGTATACGGTGTTGCACGGCGCCACAGTGGATCGGAGGCTGAAGTTCCCGACGCGTACACCGTCGCAGAAGATGAATTAGACACAATGACAGGTAGTAGGTTGCGAAACAGCGGAAGCTTTTCGAACTAGTATGTGAGATGTGGAAAGGTATTTAGACGCGAAAGGCCCTCTCGCGGTTCGCCTTTCAAAGCTCCTGCTCTATACAAACCATCAGAAAACACTATACGAGCCGGTCTCACCTAATACACTCTTTACGAACCGACACGAACGCATCCGACGACCTCGCACCAGCAACGCTCTTGTACACCTTAAATCTAAGGCACTTTCGCGAACCCCAAATACTTCCACCATGCGTTACTCTACCATCATCAGCGTCGCGGTCGCTTTCGTCCCGGCGGCACTCGCACAAAGCTCGTCTGCCACCATTACATCAATGGTCCCGATGATGTCTCCCTCGGCGCCTCCCGTCACAATGGCTTGGAACAACGAGCCCAGCGCAACGGATAAATCGGCTCTTGCATCAAAAGCTTCGTCCATGAACTCTGCCATGGAGTCGGCAATGTCTTCCATGTCAATGAGTATGCAGATGGAGAGCGGCATGACCATGTCTAACGGTATGGTCATGGCCACAGGCAGTGCTCAGGCTGCTATGGGCAACTTGACCGGTAGCGCCGGTAAGATGGAGGTTGGCGGTGGTGTAGCGATGATGGCAGCCATCTTAGCTATGCTTTAAACGGATTGCATACGCTCTAAAGGCTTGCTGAAGCGTGCAACAAAGGCTTGATCAGCTAGCCATCGCCATTCCGGCCTTCTGTTTACCTGGCATTCGTCTTTGAGAACCCAGTCTCCATGTCGGATCTTTTCCTCTTTTCACAAATACCATTTGTACAATAAGACCTAATGTCATTTCTTCCGTGTACCACACAATCTTCGTCGACATATCACGTTCTATGCAGAGTATAAGCTCTTTCAAACCCGCAAGCCAACTGTTCTGATAGCGATAGCGGGTTGGCAGATTTACACCACAATCTGGTCATACCTCACTCGTACTGGTCGTGTTGGTGGTCGCAGCAGTTTAGATTGTTCAAATAGCCTAGTACTTTCAGTACACTTCCGAGGTGTTCAAAGAGGTTTAGTAGAAATCTGATGGGATCGAACAGTGCTCGATATATGAACAGGAACGAATCAAGAGGTGGTTTGAAGCTAAAGAATTTTCATTATCATCAAATGATACCCTCATCCATCAACTACGGATACCAAACCCTAAACACTGATCTTACAGTCCAGACCTCGGGCCTTCAGTTTCAAGAGTAGCACCAGGAAAGTTGATTCCATAGTCAAACATACTCCTGCCCGCCGGCACGCCTTGACAGCCACCGCCCAGATCCTTAAGCGGCTGCAACGCCGGTACAAGACGGGTGTTGACCGCATTTAAAGCAGCATTCAGGACAGCTCCTCCAAGAAGCTTGCTCAAGAAAGAAGGGGTATCCGCTTGCACAGCCTGCGCAATAAAGCAACCCATCTTCTTCGGGTCATTTAGATCCTCTGCGAAGTTGATGAACCCGCCGGTGATATCACCCAAGTTAACGCCCGAGAAACTGTTCACCGTGCCTGTGTTACCGCCGACCTGGCAGTTCAATGGGTACGCGGCGCACTGTTGTGCGGTCGAGATGCCAATGTCTGCGAGCGTCCATGGGTCGAGCGGGTGGCGCTTGTACCAGTTGTCTGGGATGCGCTCGTAGCCGTACTTGTACGTCAATGTACCGCTGGCATCGCGCTTGTAACTGAAGAAATCCATGAATACGTCTTGCGTCAGGAAACCGCGCGGTGCTTCGGCGCTGTGGTTTGCTAGCAAGGCGTACGCGAACATGTGCGCGCCAAAAGTAAACGCAACACCAGCGTACGCCGGACTGAAGTAGAACGGATTCGTGGCGATGCTGTGTTTCTTGCGGTTGTTGGAGTGCTCGGCGAGGACGCGGGGTGTAATGTTACCCCCCGTACGTGCGTTCGCGAGGTCGAAGAGCTCCTGCATGTATTGCGGGTAGGAGCGACAGTTGGAGTTCATTTCAGGTGCCAACCAGTCACCGCGAGTTATGCTGGCATCGCCCTCGCTTCTGAGATGGCCATATGCGCAGATTCCCGTCTCATTGCCGAGTGCGTTGCCAATGAGTGGGGGAAGGGAGCTGGTCTTGTCGGAATGGGGACCGATGCTCCAGCGGCCGGAGATGGGGTCGCCATTGAAGAAAGCAGTCGCGGTCTCAAGGAAGATAGTGGCTGTCTTGTCGAGGCCGAAGGCTTGCCATAGACCGGTGTTGATGCTCTGTGCGTCGACGACACCATCGCGCTGAATGTAGCCGTGATTTGCGGCGGCGTTGAGGCCAGAACAGGGACCGCGGATGTCTCCTGGGCCTGGGGCGCGCCATTCGTGCTCGCCAGTTGTGTTGACGAGTTGTAGGGCGGGGTCGAATTGGTTGAAGAGGGCGTGGTTGGGAGTGCCTGGGTATTCTGGGAATTCGATAATTTGGGGCGTCGTTTGACGCTCTTGGATACGCTTCTCAGCGACCATGCGAGCTATCTCAGGGAAAGCTGAGACCAGCAGAGCTGGCCCGCCGAGGAGCACGAGAGATGTCTTTGCTAGCATTGTATATCGCAAGAGTAAAGGGCGAGGAGATACTGAGAGGAATGTCTTGGAGCAGGCCTCGTGTAGCTTATATGTCTTCGCAACCACCGCTGCAGATTAGTGTAAGCTTCCCAGTGCGGAGATAAGGATCACCCGTAAAGCTGCTCATAGCCGATCTGTTCGGACCTGAACAAGTTCCTGTGTCTTCTCGTGGTTGATCCACTAGTACATGGGCTACTTTGTCAGGGTGTAGCTAATCGTCTCGGTGACACCATAGTGCGTTGTCTTGGGCAGTTGTAGGATCGTCCCGAAGCAGTAATCGTCTGCGTCGATCTGCAAGGCTCACATAGCTAGGAAGTATAGTTGCCAAGACTGGGGCTATGAGCGACAGTGCGCTATTGGATGACAACGGATGCGATTCCGCGATCTGCAGTATATTCAGACCCTGGGTTGGCTACGAAAGAAGTTCAGGAATGATAGAGTGTTCTCTAAGCCCCCTTATATGCCTAGTTACCCCGATGTAGTAGGCGTGAGGTCTTAGGCAAAATGTTGTTGCGCATCTGCGTTGTTCTTTTGGGAAATGATTGGGGATACACACCAGTTACAACAGCACCATCACTAAACGTATATATACGGAAAGTATACAGAAAAGTTGCGAAGGCGTCCGACAGTCTCCTATAGCTGGGCACTCCTCCTAATATAGATCGCAGAAGTCGTCCTCCCATGAATCGAACCTGGAGGGAGCATCGCCTGGTGAAAGTCGATTCAGTTTGTTGCATCTGTTATCGCACAATACAACTGAGCGGTGGTAGATGCCGTTTGCAAAACGCCCCCAGTCCAACCCTGGTCTTTTCTTACCGCCCGCTCGTCCGGAGCCTGCAAACTGCCTCAACTCCTGTCTCATAACAATAGCGCTCGTCATTGGTACACCCGAAGTAGCACCTGACAGGCAGCCTCGTTGGAGCCCCACGAACTGTCTGCCAAGGTGTGGATAGATTCTTATGCGACAATCTGTCCGAACTGCTGACAAACCTCGCTATAGACGGTAGGTACCGTGTAAATCAGATCAGGATGAGGAAGTGAGGTGACGTCCAGCGCAAATGTCGATTTAAGCTCGACAAAAATATAGACTTAGCGTGACGCTAGCGGACACTACCCCGGATATCCTACACTCCGATGGTCTAGATCGTCCGTTAGTTGCCCAGATAGTGTTTGTGATGATCGGCGACTGACACGCCTTACATACGTAAATCGTGCTATTGGCTGGTAGTCGCAGCAATAGTTGTCCGCCAAGTGGTTCGACCTGAAGTTTGCGTTAGCATCACAAACCCCTGCGTCCGCAACCCTTACTTGTAGATCTCCTGCTGTATATGCCTCGGCTCCTTCCCCAGATAACCAGTGAACACCGATCCTAGTCTCTAGGGGCAAGTGTGCTCCTCGATAGCCGAACAACTGCCGAAGAAGATCTCACCAATCAGTGCTCTCGCTCAGGTACCGTCCACCAATAGCCACAAATTCATTAGTGAGCTGTTTCCCATCGACCATCCAACATCTAGTCCATATGGGGAAATCTGTCCCCTCCTGGTACAGTTGTCACTGTAGTGTCTTCATACGGCGGAGTACTGCAGAAAGAGAAGCACGTTGTCCAGCCTTTCGTCCCCACAGAACAACAGATGTGACAAGATCACTCGAAACACGAGATTCAGATTATGCGATGGGAAGATTCATTCACACCCATCTATATAGTTTAAACAATGTCATACTCATAAAATCTACAAGTGCCTTCAACCTCGCCACCATATAGACTTTGCTGGGAAGATTCACACTTCACTAGCCACATGTCCTACATCAATCTCAAATACTACAAATAAGAAACACCACCAACGCTTAGCATACCATTCGCCCCCTTCTAATAGCCCCTCGAGGAGGCATTAGCACGAAGCGTTCGGTAGTGTATGCAGTACGCCGCCGTTGTTCAATGTCCATAAAAGCTCCAAGATTTTGAGACCATCCCAGCTCATCTGATCAATACTAGCCTCAGAACCTCAGTAACTCTGCCGACTTCTCGCCTATGTCCGTAGGACACGATTAAACCTTTTATGATGCGTGCTTTCAGGAGAGACGACTTTGAGCCGTGCTCGGTGAACCGGATGGCAATTTTGTGGTCTTGGTGTAGTCTACTGTTGATATGCAATTAAAGAGTCGGCCGACTAGCCAGATATTCGTATTGACTGTGCTGACTTGTGTGATGAAGTGTGGTGCTGCTAGTTTGTTAGTAACCTTGAAGGTCAAGAGAAAGCAGAGACAGAAAGTGCGACATACTTCCTGCAGATTCTCATCCTTCAATCAATTTGGGGGAATTGCTATCCGCTTTACTTCTTCGTCAGGAGCATATATTTGCCTATCAGTCAGTCGATGTCAAATACGCATGTGATAATCACCTATAAGTATCAGTTTCAATTCCGGATCACAAGCATCCCATGATCTCCGTTTTATCCAGTTGGATTCTCGCTCCAATCGTGACTTGCCGACCGATAGACGCTGAGACTGCCCTTCTGATTTCCCTTGTCAAATCCGCTGTCTATCGACGTCGAGGATGTCACAACTGCCGCATGAGTTGTATCTGATGCGATGACTCCAATGAGCTCTGTCGGCCGAGACTGCGCTAGCGATTTGAATGTGACAGTCACGCCCATGGAATCAGGTCCGATGTCATCGTGTTAATCATCTAGTACAAGTCATGATAAGTGACACTTGCAGATGCAGCTCCATCGCTGTGGGAACAATGACATTATCTGGACATGACAGTGTTCCGTGGGGCCAATTATTGCCAGGTATGACGTCATGTCAGTACCTACGTCTGGACTGCTTACAGAAGCCTGGAGCTTTCCTATCCCTTCGACTCGACCGAAGCACCAAAGCTTAAACACTAGTTGAACCGCCTCTAATAATCTCATAAGGATTATATGAAAATTCGTCACCGCACCAGTATTCGCCTCCACGGGAACATTCCGAGCCAGCTCGCACCTGCAACATGACGGCAGCAGATCGAAAGTCACTCTTAGATCGCGTATTCGCCGCGAAAACAACAGAAGAATCACGAGGACTATACGATGAATGGGCAAAGACTTACGACTCAGACATGACCCTCCACGACTTCACCGCACCACGCCTAGTCGCCCAAGCCGTAGCCAGAGGCCTGAAGCTGAACCATATCTCACTAGACAAGCCCTTGAACGGCCTAAAGATTGCGGATGCAGGATGTGGTACCGGCCTTGTTGGCATCGAGCTCTCTGAACTTGGCGCTACGAATATCCTGGGTCTCGACATCAGCGAAGGGATGCTAGCAGTCGCTAAGAACACCGCCGTGTACGATGACCTGAAAACAACGGACCTGACGAAGCGATTGGAGTTTGAAGATGGGAAGTTCGATGCACTGACATGCTGTGGCACCTTCACGCATGGCCATTTGGGGCCGGAGCCGTTGGAAGAGTTCGTGAGAGTCGTTAAGGACGGCGGGGTTGTTGTTGCGACGGTTTTGGACAGCTTCTGGGTTGAGAAGGGCTTTGAGAGGGAGGTCCAGAGGCTGGAGAAGGAGGAGAAGGTCGAAGTTGTAGAGCAAGATCTACACCAATATCGGCAGGATGCTGGAGGCGGACGTGTATTAATTCTACGGAAACTCTGATTGTGAGCAATCACACAATGGTAAATGTCATGTTAAGGGAGGCGCTTTCAAGCTACAGAAGTGAGTTTCAAAACAAAGTATAAGCAAACTGTGAGAAGACAAGTTCATATGTTTCGATTTGTATTCTTCTTAGCATCGATGAAGCTATAGCAGCCGCTTGTAAGCCAAGATGCTTTCAAAGTTCCTCTCAATATGCTCTTCTATCTATCTTGTGATCCGTCGAAAGAACTCATGACAGTCATTGTACGGCGAAGATACCCAAGGAGAGGGCTCAACCTTCCGGAAGTTTACTAGGAAACCGGGAAGAAAGAGAGACTCATTGAGGTCGCAATCGGAACACCCATATATACAAAGAGTGGAAATGGCGTTTTGCACATCTTCAGGTATCATCTCGAACAGAACTCTCAAATCCCAGATGCCCACGGCAAATTTGTTGTTATGAAAGACCAGCAGCCTTGCCTCTGCATAGTATTGTCGACACACCAATTGAGATTGAAGGAGCGCAAATAGAGATTGATAATGAGGACGTGCGCTTCTATCGTAGGGCAGACAGAAGAACCTTATGGGTAGATATCCCGATTCCGACATGGGCCTCCACACCACGATATGGTCCGCGCTGAAGACGTAGTCGTATATCCCGTTGCGAATTTCGCCAGGTAGGCGCAAGAGTGGTGATTTAACCCGGTTACGTAGTGTACTACAACGCGGTCAGTTCCATTCGATGCAGCCTCAAAGATGGATTGAGTTTACATCGTTTCCATGATATCCGTGAATGGTTCTGAAGACGGCATTTTTCAGCGAAAGGGTTGTTTCTTGGAAATCCTGCAGACGTGCACCATGTGGTTGTTGCCAGTGGGTGAGTGTGATTCAGGTAAGTGCTTCATGCACCGCTTGCCCTGTCCGAGCTTAGTGCCCCTACAGTACGGTGCTCTCTCACTTCAAAGCTCGTCTATAGTACAATACTGTTACAAGGTGAAGGATACATCAGTCCATCACAACCATCCCGCGAAGATAGCCAGCGTACCCAAATGGCGTCGGCCGCGCAAACTGCGATAGGGCAAGCCCAAGCCCCAGCCCTGCGCCTGCCACACCCGTCTCTTGGATTGACGCACTCGACGTACGCCAGCTCTCAGTTCCAACGAAACATTCCTCGTCCCAGTCATACACATATGGTTGAAAATCGTCATGTTCGCGGAAACGGTCGGGCGCGTATCCACGTACGTCCATGAAGAGATCAACCAGATCCTTATCGCTGCCTTCGTCGAAGTAAATGCGTCCGCCAATAATCGGCCACGCAGCCGAGTATCGAGACCTGGGTATTGAGCCACAAGCCAGCCATTCTGACGGACGTATGCATTTTGGATCGATATCAAGGAGAGGTCCAATGTCAGCCATGCAGAGCCACTGGTCTTCGCCACCCCTTCTACCGTGCCAGAGTGGGACCAGAGCACAGTGAATTCCCGACGCGCCTACAAGTGTGGTGACAAGGTCTGAGGCTTGGATCTGGACCACCTGGATAGCCTCATGGCCTCGAACATGGAGTTCGTATGCCTCTTGCAGAGCCTCCGCTGATGCTAGTTAGCGCAACCGCATATTATGCTATGAGATGGAGCGGCTACCGAAGTCACTGAACACCGAGATGAAAGGGCTGGGCTGTGTGTCACGAAGACAAAGGTGTTGCTCTATGCATTCCGGGCTCAAGTGAGAGAAAGTGAATTCACAGTCTGCCTGGAGTAGACGAGAGCCGGTGGTTGATCTCGAATGGTAGGTTGCTGCACTGAGTTCACTGAAGACGTGATAGAAACATGGTCCCCCAAAGTCGTTGATCGGGTCGTTTTGAGCGAAGTCGCTGCTGATTGGCCGGTCAAAATCTAGCCGCATCATCGATCGCCGCACAGTGGACGTACCTCAACATTGTTTCATCGCAAGCCATCTCATAACACTGCAGCGGCTTTCATCATCTCCTTGCTTTCGCAGCATGCAGTCATCGCATGTACTAGAGACATTGCACAGTCTGCCGTCTCGCATGGAAGCCATCGGGTCGACTGGTCCGTGATGGCGCAAAGCTCGCACCACCACGATGCAGCATTTTCCCTCCGCATCGAGCGACTCGTCCAGAACATAGGCCCAGCATGCATCAATATCGTCCTCGAACGATTGCTTTCACTCATGGATCCGGTACTAACGAAGTTGCTTTGGTCAGATACTCTTCTAAAGGAGAAAAAACTCTGACAATGCGCGCATCTCCCAGGTCCAGCAGCCGTGCATGAGACATCTCTTGGGCTACGCAACAAGCTTGGACATGCACCAAATGTTCAAGCAGTTCCCTGTATTTTCGGAATGCTCCCACTTTGTTCGTGTGTGAATTTCGATGACCTAGAACCGTGCTCGAAACATTCAACGACTGATCATAGTGAAGGCGCAAAACCAAATGGCTCACAACGTGATTGGTAATGGAGTGGAAGTGTCCAGCTTATCCTCTTATACGCGACTCGTTTTATTTGCTGAAAAGTTTTGGTTGTACTACAACAAATCTCAACCAGAGTCTATCTAGATATGAGCAAAGACCAGTCACACTTGACGGATAATACGCAGAAGCTTGTCATGCAAGAAACGGAAGAAGCAGCCATGCTGCATATGTGGAGAACTATGGGATATGGAGAAACACCTGGTCTTCCGAATTACGAACGTCACCCTATTCCCGCTGTCGCAGAACACACTGAGCCCATCGCCCCTACTATCACTCTTACCACGCCTACTCCGCCGTCTTCACAAAAAGCATCAGCCAGTGCAGCCTCTGAAGAGGATGCATACCCACCTGGGGCGCTCAATCAGTCACCCCAGGAGGTGCGTCAATCTTCCCCTCCACCTACCAATCCTGTCCAGCATTCGGAATCACCTCCTACAAAATCCTCCAGTTCGCCACTTCGTTTTGTTCCGCGACCAACTCAAGACTACGAGGCTATGCTGCAAGCCATGGCAACTGGTAAGTTTGACATCCCTATCTTCGGAGCAGCAGGTGCAGCCTTCATGAATCGCCCGCTTCCAGGGACGCCTATACCGAAGAATAGGAAGCGAAAGTGTGCTGAGACACCGCATGACACAGACAGTCACGAAGTTGAGAGCGCGTCAAAGGAATCAGCGAGAAAGAAGAAGACTGTCAAGCTTAAGAGTTCTACCTAGATGTCACTCTGTCATTAGTCTCACCTAGACAGCGAACACACAGTATACGATCCTGCAGTAGAAGAAATAGATCACAAATGCAAAAAAGACTCCCTGGCACAATAGCAGGCCATCACGTTTCTACTCAAGTGCCGTCTTCCGTAGTACTGCCTTGGATACACGAAGTCGGGCAAGGTCGTACAATTTGCTTGGACTGTGAAGGCTATGAGTCCAATCTTATGGGAGTATCCCCACTATTCTTTCATGCATATAGAAAATTGCCACCATCCGGTTCTTTTCGTACAGCTCTCTTTCCTCTCTCTAGACTGCCATCTGCGTTGCAAGTCATTCTCGCAAAACCATGCGTCGCTCAATATTCCGACTTCACTTGGCTTGTGTGGCATGGCTCAGTCGCATATCTGCTATCCACACCATTTTAATACGTGATGATATCTCCATCCGACCCATCCCAAATGCATTTGTCTGAATTTACTGATGATCGTTGCAAAACTGATGTTTGGCAGTCGGGCAATGACGTAACGGTTACCACTGCATTCATCGTATCATACCTAGGTATTCTTACTAGGTATGCAGATAGAAAGTCCACTGCGTACTTTAATTCACTCCTAATGTTCTTGGAGCATATCTTGACATTCCATACGCCGCCAAGATGCCACATCCAAGCCTCGAATACACCACCGTGCAACCTGCACTAGACACCTAGCCCAAAAACGCAACGCGCAACAACGCCAACGGCACAGACACGGACGTGCTCGAAAGACTAAAGATCCGTGAGATCTGCGAAGGATGGGGCATGTACCGCGACGCAGCTGAATGGCAAAACTACTCCTCCATGTTTCACCCTGGCGCGTACATTACAACATCATGGACCCAAGGTCGTCTTGATGACTTCGTCGCTTCTTCAAAAGAGGGATTCGAGGGACAGACACCCCACGGTCCTTTCCCTTATATCCTGCATAGAATCTGTGGGCAAACGATTGACATCCAGGGTGATCGCGCGATTAGCAAGATGAAGGTTACAATTACGTGTCGTATCATGCGGGATGACATTGAGATGGACAATGAAGCTGACACCCGCTTCTTTTTCTTCTTGTCCAAGAATGGGCAGGGAAGATGGGGTGTGGATTTCATGACTCTGCTTTTCGACAAGGACAAGATGGTACCTGTTGTTCCTGGCAAGGCGTTTGAGATACCGGAGAACGAAGCCAAGCAGTATCCGAGTGGATACCGGTATCTGGCGTGGGCGGAGAGCAAGGCGGCAAGGCCACCGAAGATGGACTTGAATGCGCATAGACCAGAAAGAGATATCCTGTATGCCAAGTGTAAGATTTGGTTGGAGGGAGGGGAGGTAAAACCTAACCTTACAGGACATGATGTTGTGCAATACTAGGCTTTGATCGGAAGATGGCGAAGAATGTTGAAGAGAATAAAATGATTTCATGTAAAACGCTATATACAATACATTTTAAACGTTCTGCTCGTTGATGAAAAGACCGGCCATACCCATACCAGTACCAATGCACATACTGGTGAGCAGCACCTTCTTCTTTTGCCTCCTGCACTCGCTCAAACCAGTAACGATTTGTCGGGCACCAGTGCATCCAAGCGGGTGACCTAGCGCGATAGCACCTCCCCTTACGTTGAGCTTGTTGTGGTCGATCTTGAGTGTCTCGAGACAGTATACGGCCATTGACGCGAAAGCCTCGTTGATCTCGATGAGGTCGATGTCGTCGAGGGTGATGTTGAACTTGGAGAGAAGCTTGGGGATGGCGATGGATGGGCCGATACCCATGATCCTTGGTGGGAGACCGGCGACGGTGGCACCGACGTACTTTGCGAGGATGGGTTGGCCGAGCTTCTCGGCGGTGGAGCGCTTCATCATGAGGATGGCAGCGGCACCGTCTGTGAGTTGCGACGAGTTTCCAGCGTGGGACTTGTCGCCATGGGGAAGGAAGGCAGGCTTGACCTTCTGGAGGCTCTCGAATGTGGTGCCGTATCGGATGCCCTCGTCCTTGGTCAGAGTGACGGTCTTGACCTCGCCAGTCTTGGGGTCCTTGAGCTGGGTTGTGATGGGCGCAATCTCATCGTCGAACCAGCCAGCCTTCTGCGCTACCTCGGCTCTCCGGTATGACTCGGCAGCGAACTTGTCCTGGCGCTCGCGCGAGATGTTGAAGTCGTTGCCGACGTTCTCTGAAGTCTGACCCATGGGCTGCATGCAGTCACATGCCTCCTGGTTCTCGAGCACCTCGTCCACGAAGGGCCTCTCGAGCCTGTCGCCACCTGCTGTCATGCTCTCGGCGCCCATGGCCAGACCAACCTCGATGCTGCCTACGGCGATCTGGTTGGCAATGTCTTGGACGGCCTTGAGTCCCGAAGAGCAGAAGCGGTTCAGGGACGATCCGGCTGTGGTGTTGGGGAAACCAGCGGCGAGCATGGCGGCGCGGACGTAGTAGGCGGCCTTGGCGTCAGAGACGTTGCCGACGCAGATGTCTTCTACAATGGCGGGATCGAGGGTCGACTTTGCGACGACCTGCTTTTGTGTCTTGACCATTATGCCGTCGAGCGTCGTGTCCTTGAGTCCGCCCTTGTGCGCCTTGGTGAGGGGGGTTCGGAGGGCGAGGGTGATGACAACATCATCGGGGTTCTTGGTGGTGCTGTTGTTTACTGTCAGCGACTGGATCCTCTTCTACACTATCTATCGCGGTCTCCTTCACGCGTCGTCTTTGCCTGGGTAGAGCTTACAGGGCCGAGATGCCGCTCGCCGAGGGCGTCATGTGGGAGACGATGGACTTGAGGCGGTCTGTCATTGTGAATAGGTGAAGATGGATGAGATTGAGGTTTGTGAGAGGCGACGATGAAGTTCAAAGAGATAGGGACAGAATGCGGAGGCGGAGCTCTTAACATAAGTTGTGGGGCACATAACCGCAGCTTCTGGGCCGAGGATCTCGGAGCCACAAATCACGCGTTCTTCGGCAACTGCCCGGGAGAATCGTCGGACCTTATCGTGCTATTAACACAGGAAGAAGGAGCATACTAATCAGCATATGATTTCGTAAGACGTACGACTACCATCAGAGCCAGGTAGCTGCTGTTTACTTATCCACAAAATTGATGCATCGCCAATTCCGCCTTCCCCGCAATTCGCCGCCACGCGACTGGGCCTCTTAGCCTTGCGCTATACCTCCGACCTCGTCCATCTCATCTCGACTTGGCTGCTGCGAAACCTCGCTCCTCACGCCTTCATCCAATGCCCTTCACCTTTGATCCACAGTCTCACCGGCAAATGCGAGGGGTTAGGCTCTCCTCTTTCTCGTCAACGCCACCAATCTCTGCGACGCGATTCGGCCCCATCGTCCTGTCGCGTCACGTCTTCTTGGCAACAGCATGAGGCGCAAGAATTCCCCATCCCCCTACATTGCATTGCCTATAACATACCGATGTTTCCATCTCTACTTATCAAAGGCGACATTGTAGTCTGCGTGTGGGTAAGAGCTAGTGCATGAATGACACAGCCTCATGGCCGACAACACGACCCAATATTGGCGAGCTGTGCCGCCAGTTTGTTATGCCAGCAAGGGATATTTGGCCCCCAAACACCATCACACCCACACTGTACTCCACGCAGGATATCTGCACGAATACCACAATGTCATAAGGCAGAGGTGCGAGAGAAGGCAGGCCTAGCATTTGTGGCGCCTGAAGTCTCTCAGCAGTGTTTCCTTTGACCCATGATATCGCGAAGGTCAACCACCATGCCGTCAGAGGTTCTCGAATTTCCTTTTGTACGAAACGGGAAGCGAGCGGGATCTAGGCTAATAGACGTACGCCCTGCTCTTATCCACATCTCAACCAGGTCCCTGTAAAGGCCAACGGATGAAGAGGTGGCTTAAGGCATACCGCGAAATGCATGCTGCCTGCAAGCACCCACGAATAGATTCAACTTCTGATTGGAGAAAAAAGTGCCACTGGTAGAACTTGCATGGTTCCACGCACCGGGAGCATGGGGGCGGCGGAGCAAGACTGCGCTTTGACCTCATCCTCCCTCCCTATCCTTCCCAATACTACAAATGCTCGTCCTAGGCCTCGTCGTGATTGAGGTGGCACGCGTTCTTCTCATTTCTCCCAATTTCAATCATGGCCGCAGCTTTTACAACTTCCTACACGTCCGCATCGACTACGTCGATTGCAGGACCGTTGATGACCGCTTTCACTCCGCCAGACCATTGCACCAACGTTGTCAAGTCGTCATGTACCCTTACCACGCCTTCCAGTTATATCAGTATAGGAACTTCCGGGTCATACTCTTATGGCGATCCCGTCTGGTCTTGTCCCTATGTGGAGCGCGATCTCTCATGCGGTTCCGATGGACGGGCCACTCGTGACAGTGCATGTTTCCCAAACAACAACGGTGGTGATGGTAGCGGCACGTTACTATTCTCTCCTGGGACAGCCTGTCCTGGTGAGTGGGAGATGAAGAGTGAGGTTATATTGTCCAGCAAAACCACTGCAGTGTGCTGCCCGTCGTAAGTACGCCCCGGACGAGTTCCTCGGCGAATACTCACAACATCTGTCAGTGGCTATGAAGTGCATTACGATTCCGATTATGCGAGCTGCACTAGTCTTATCTCCTACCCTGATGGTACTGCTCCTGCCATGTCTTGCAAAAGTGGCGGAACTTCGGTATCCGATCCTCTCACTTATTCTACTTCCACTACAACCTACGGTAGTTCCACGTCGACCTACACGTATTCGACATACACTATCATCTGGGCGCAGAAAATCCTCGTTGCTTATCCCACTACCTCTGCAAGCGACGGACGCGTCAACGAGCTCAGCGAGCCAACTTCTACCGACAGCCCCGAGGGAGGTTCCGCGCAACCAATACCTCAACCGGATGGTAAATCTGGTCTCGGTGCAGGAGCTATCGCGGGAATCGTCGTGGGAGTGGTCGGCGCGCTACTCCTGGTCGGTGCATTCTTCTTCTGGCGTCGCCGCCAACAAAAGCATCACCATGCGCCAATTCCAAAGGCTAGTCCGGCAGGAGAGCATGATGCGTTACCGGAGTTTGTTGCAACGAGTGGTACGAGCACTGGGCCTGCACAGATGACCGCAGCCAGTTCGAATGGATTGTTCCAACCACAACCGGAGTTGAGGTCTCCACGATGAGACGGCGGTGGTCGGTCGCTAGTTCTGCATAGTGAGGACACTCAAGGTCGAGCGCGTCTGTTTTCAGTTCACGCGAAATCGTTCGCTTCCGCTACGATAATGATACCCTTTTGCCTTGTATAATTCTATGTATTCAAATAGCGTCGCCTTGTGTAGACCAACTGATGAACGCACGACATAGCTCCGTACCACGATCTCCACTACCAGCTTCTTTGGGCCATGCGGTCACGGCAACCGACACTACTATCACACGAAGTTAATACAAATGTCGTCGCAAGCTGACGAGTTTAGGCGTTTGTCTGTGTCCAGCGCGAGAAAGACAAGGCCTGACCTAGTTATTTACCAACTCGGATGTGTGGAGTATGAGATCACTGACTTGAGAATCCTCGACTTCACTATTAGGCAGCAAATAAATTAGCTTGCACAACAGTCCCTTGACCCACAGTACTAGTGTTGCTCACTCGACTACTTTGTCCTTTCGTCAAACCAACCCAACTCTCTGCATTGGAGCAACTCGATCTTGCGAAGAATACGCAGCTTGGCCAACATACTTGCAACTGCAACAATGAGCACTTCTACCAAGGGTTCCCAACGCGGCGCTCCATTCAGAGCCCGCAGACAAGCAGCTCGAAAAGGCGCTGACAGTACTCGTGGTAGAGAACATCTGCCATCAGCTAGCGGTGCTACTTCTTCGTTAAAGTCTCGCAGGCACTCGCGTACTACAGCAGAACTTCCTACCAATGAACAGGATGTCAGAGGTTCTGATTCAGACTTCGAGGGCGAAGGTGAGGAACAGTCCAGCAACTCGACTGCGAACACTCTGGTCGAGGTACACGAAGCGAGGCCTAGAGGGCCTTTCCGACCGTCAACGGCGCATCAACTATTCTACATAATGAACTTTGGGCAGCTATCACCAGACATATTGTATAGGCCCATCCATCCACTAAAGAGCTATGCGACGCCCTCGCAGTTCGATCTCTCCAGCCTCACTATCCCGTTAACCGCGAAGGAAATCTTGACGGTAAAGCTTCTTCTCCTGGTATATGATACTTGTCTAATGGATTCAGTTCTTCCCCAACCACGTTAACATATCTGAATTACAACACAGGCTCTATCACAGTGACATCAAATGCTCGTTCCAAGCCAACTTCATTGTAAGTGGTCTCGAGGACTGTTTGAGCGTTCGTAGTCGAAAGAGCTGACATGATCACGAAGAACCATCAGTACCGTCTCCAAGGCCTAGATATCGTCATACCCATGGATTGTCGCGCGTACCTCAAGGAAGCGAGAGCAAAGTTAGAGGGAGAGTTCACAACCAAACCTACTACCTTTACCACCAGTCATTACACTTTCTTACCTGGTGACGCCAACGGATTCGACAACGTCAAGATATTTTATCCAATCATCGATTGTGGCTTTTACGTTCATCCGAGCAACTTTCCCATGGGCCCTGACAGCGGTCCCTTCACGAAAGCCCTCATCAAAATCCAGCTTGTTGGCAGCACGACACTGATGTTGTCTCAGCTCGATTTTGTTATTGCAAGTATGGGCATCAGTCGGAAGCTAGTGGACGGACATACTGATGCAGATTTCCACAGAAGACACAGGGTGATGGTAAAAGAGTATCAGGACTTTTTGCAAACGAGCGCGAGAGAGAACAATATTCGATCTGATCACTGAGATCTAGGGCGACACCGCAGGCAAGGCCTTGAACATAGTCACTGGGTAGTCGGAGATCTTTCACAGCACGTTGTCTACACCCGGGATGGTTTCTGCAGAGATAAAATAGTCGTACAAGTGTATGGGGAAACAAACGTAGAAAGTACCATTTGCTTCTTAAAGTCGTGTTCATGGACTATCTACGCCATTTCAAGTGCCTCGGACTTGTCATTACTAAACATCATGGGAATATCCTCCTGTTTTCCACCACATCCTGATCAGGTCGTAGTTTGGATCATGTCTGCGAGCCGGATCAGAGTTATGATCTGGAAAGAGACGATCGCGAGCCGCTTGATCAGCCTGGACGACGGAAACAAGACTTGGGCCCGGAAGATTATACTGTCTGTCCAAGCCCGCTTGGGTAATGTACTGCTCAACTTGAGATAGTCGTACATTGTTATGATTGTGGCGGCGAGCATGAAGCACGGCGATGGTCAATCTCCCTTGATCCGCACCTTGAGGGAAGTGGGCTAGACCATCACCCAAGCTGACGAGAAAACAGTCGCGAAGATCGTTGAAGTCGACATTCGAACTGACACGATCAGCGCTAATGCTGTCGAGGGTGAAGCCAGCAGCACTGCATTGGTGGTTCTGAGCGTCTCTTCGGTGCTTCTTCATACTCCCGAAGCTGTGGGCCCGTAGGTCTACCGTACCGAGCGATCGCTGCCAGAACTGTGTATAGATGAGCAAGGAACTTTGACATGTAATTCATGAAAACTTACAATGAGCATGCGCAGCATGGAGAGGGTCCAGCCTGCTGCGTCGAAGCGCTTCCATAGAGCTCTCCAGGATGAGGCTGCTCGAGGAAAGAACTGCTCTTTCGTTAGTTCGTCTTGCGCATATTGCGGGTTGGTTGATCAAAAACTGACTGCGACAATCTCCACCAGGTTCACCTGAATGTTCGGCCCAAGACGACGGATGTCGACATGATCCCATAATGCAACACTGTTGAAGCGGCAATACGAGTCAGACAGAGCGCGAGAAGGTAAGGCCGCAGATCGGGGAGCGATGAAAATCCAAGCCAGCTTACGAGACTCGGGCCATTCGTACTGATAAGTGCCGCTTACGCCTCCGGGACGGATACCAGATGTACGGGGACCTCGAGGGATAAAGACATGACCTACTCGGGTGAGGACAATGGTCCGTATGGGCTGAGCCGCTGGTTGGTGTACTATCGTTGGCACCCTGAAAGAGGGTTGGAGACTACTTCCTTGTATCTGTAGTGCTTGGCCTTGCGCTTGGAGGGTCTGCATCGCTCGCCAGTTGATGTACTGCAGGTAGTGTGAGAGACTGTGGAGTAGAGCTCGGCTCCTGAGCTCAGGCGTACTGAGGGCCTCGAAGGCTACTCGCACTTCTGTAGGAACGCGCGACCTATAACTAGGCACTAATTGTAGGAGCCAGTAACACTCAGCGACAAGGACAGACTCCATCGTCACCGAGTCCTTGACCCAATACTGCAGACCGCTCGATGTGGGTGTCATTGCACCGATCTGTTCTAGGCGCTCACTCGCGTTGCAGAAGTCCTCGATGACCTTCCGTACGATTGGTATGCGGGTACTTGCTGTAGCGCGGAGCTCATCACGAGTTATCTCACTGAGCGCTGTCTGGTAGTAGAAACCTTGGGAGACAGTTGGAACTTTTATAGTCAGTACTGTCGGACCTAAAGATGCCCGAAAGAGAACATTGCGATACAACATACCAGGGTACGGGTCCATGATGCTTTGTGCGCAGTCAGCGAAGTCGATCGATTGGTCTTGATATCAGAGCTCTGGTGGTTGAATCGAAATTGATTCGTTATGTAGATGAAATCCGCAAGAACGCGCGACTCACAGACCATACAGTCGCTTGTCATTGAGAACATAGGCACGTGAATACGCGTTCTGGCTTAGACCGCGTGTATCAGGGAGCTGTCGTGAGAATCATTGGTCCACCGTACTCACGTGCTTCGAAAGGTGATTGGCAGTGCGTTTGACCTATAGTTCGCGGTTCGTTAATCTATGCATGGTCATCAGGACTCCAAAGACGGCTTGTTAATGTGCGGCTGCTTGCATTTGTCACTGTCTGAACGAAAACTTGTAGGTCATGAGCGTGTTCTTGGCCTGTGATACCAAGAGACACAGCAATTAGCTGAGACTTCCGTCTGCCTGCTTTTACCACTGAGATTCACACCGCAACAATTTCCAATCAAGAATCATAGTACAATTGACTTTTACAGATCTACACTGTACCCGATCTCGTTCCGTGTCGATTTACAAAATCCCTATCTATCATGTCAAGGAAGGCCTGCGACGGTGTATCCTCAACGACAACATTGGTATCAGGTTGGATCAGATCGGCAGCAGGAACGGTGATTTTGTGCCTTGTCGCATACTGAACGATCTCTGATATCCTGGCATTCATATCATGAGACACGTTTCGGGCATGCTGAACGCAATGCGTGAGGAGCTGGGCGTCGCGAGCAGTGGGGTAATTGACTACACCATCACCTAGATGATGTAGAAAGTAGTCGTGTAGAGGGCGATCGGCTGCCTTCTTGTCCGTTTTCCCTCTCGTTGACATGTTCGAAGGTACATTCGTTGTGAAAGTATGTGTCGGCATATCGGCCGGCCGGCCGTCATGATCGTGGTGGAATGCGGTACGGTGGTAGCTACGGGGACTTTGCAGTTGACGAGCGTAAGACTGCTAAAATGAGCCAAGCGCGCTTGTGGAGAGATTTCAAGACACTTACCATGAAGTCAGCGACTTCTTTCGGTGACCATGACTTTCGTATACGATCCCACAGCTCGTAGTTTACGGTCTGGTAAGGAAGGAACTGCTTCAAAGTCAGCAAATGCCTGAAACCAAGAGTGATGTGCGTACAGTCAACATCTCTTGTGCAGTAGTGACACAATTGATTAGAGTAGGATCAACCGTTCTTGGTGGTGCTACCCCTCTCATCTCGTGGCGATCATCGGAATTAGCTGAAGATGGAAGTGTTGCTAATGTCCTCCCTTCGATCTCAAGATGAGCACGAATTTGACCACGCGACATCGCAACACCTTTACATCCCCTACCAGAAACATTCACTGTATTTCTAGTTGGAAAGCGGGCCATCATTGCAGCGATAGGATCCGCTAAGGGAGCCTGGACAGCTACCGTTGCTGGAGTGACAGTTACGGGTACCGTTGGCTGAACTTGAGATGCCGCCGCCACTGCAGGTACCGCTACCACTGTCGTTGTCGATACCACAGGTGCATGGGGTTTGGCGGCCTGGGAGGCAGTGGAGTGCTGCGTAGTTGTATCTGATACAACCGTCTCAAGAACACGTCCCAGGTCTGACGATGAGCGGGATGAGAGAAACTGCTCAATCCTTGGTGCTGTATCATCGTTGCGGAACCGTTTGCGGGATTCAGTTGGGGGCTCCTCCACGTTGTTGTCTATTCCATATTTCCACTTTATCTGGAGGCCGTCCTCGGCTATGGCTGCTTTGCGCTTCAATGAATGCCCTGTGGAGGCAACTGTTGGTCCTCTGTGCATATGGACCGGATTCGGGACACGCGCGGTCTGCTCGAAGAACGCGACTCGAACTTCTTCTAGAGCTATCATCAGATAGCAGTTCGGAGTAGTGAGGAATATCTCCACCCACGCATCGATAAGTCGAAAGTGTGGTCCAGGTGTGAAGCAATACATCAAGTCGTCATCTTCCTGCACATTTCTGAAATGAAACCACTGAAATCTTGCAGAATACTTGATGACATCTTCAACTCGACGACGGTGGTACTCGTTGCTCTGCAATAGGTGGTCTTCGCGAAGGTTTCTCGGAGTGTAGTGTCCTGGCGTGTACGTCACCCTTGGATCGTTCCAGAGGAGGGTCGGGAGGGCCGGTGGGTACTGGAGCGTACTGTCATGATAGAATCCGCTCGTCATCTGCGAAGTTGAATTGACGAAGTTTTGCATAGGCCCCATGCGAGGACCAAAGTGCAGAGCAGGCATAACGTTACTGTTTTGGTAAGCTTATATGGATGTTAGCAATCTTAGAAAGAAAGTAGGCTTGAAACTTACATTCCATTGCACTCGATATTTTAGACTGAATGTCGATGGTATTAAAGCCAATCGGTGTAAAGTTCGGATAGGAAGTGTGTAGAAGTCTTTCAAGTGACGTTTAGGACAAGCGACAGGAAGAGCGTGAATCGCGGTCAATCTACACTGTGCGGAGGATAAGTGGATATAAGGAGCTTTCAACAAGTTTGAGTTGATCGTGCGTTCACTGTTGGCTCGAACCACAGAAATCGTATGCTTTTGAGGACAGAGGAGAGCGGCGCGTGCAGGGTGTAATGGCACTAACCACTCTCAGGAGTGAATTTGCATCAAGTGGAGAATCAACGATGATGCCTTGTGCTAACATCGTGACTCTGATCAGCAATTTACTGTGCAGGCAGAGCTTTCACGCAGACCTTGCGTAGAATAAGCGGAGTAAATAGCACTGTCTGCAACAGGAGAGAGAGAGATATTTGAGTGATATATACAACTTAAATGCAATATCAGTGAGGTATTGAATCAGTCAGAAGTCAGAAGAAAAAGGAATCTTTAGACGGGTGTTAGAGACATGATATCCAAGTCATTTGCGTATGCGCTACGAGACGTCGTAAGCATTGTCACCACGTTATACTATAGCAAACACAACTTCAGTAAGCAGCAAGTAACAACGATGGACCTCAAAGTACACAAAGACTGCATATTCGTCAGCAAAACGGTCGCAGCTCAATTCGTATGTCTTTCTCACTAGCAAACCATGACTGACATCTTTTGCGAACAACGATATCCACCTTATGGGTCTTGACCATTGAACTTGGTGCGGTAATCGTTCCTAATTATGTTAAGGAACGCTTCTGACGGCAGCTGGTCCTCGAATGCCAGGTTTTGGAAGTTCATCTGATGATGTGCCGGCACGGTGATATTATATCTCTGCGCATACGTAGCAGCCTGGCTCAGCCGAACGTTTCGATCGTTTGTGATGCCTCGAACGTGTTCGATGACTAGCGTTAACATCTGCGCCTTACGTCCGCGAGGTGGTCGGACCACTCCATCACCCATACTATAGAGGAAGTAGTCATGTAGGTCCTTGCTAGAGCCACGCGCCCCGCTGTCTGTGCTAGTATGGCGCAAAGAGGCAGTGGGAACATGGCCAGGATGGCTTTCACCCCAATTCTTGGCCTTTGCGAAGTGATGCCCGATTTTCGATCGACCAAAGATCCCTGGTGTTTGGAGATCGTGTGCATAGTTCTACAAAGTCTCAATCAGCTTATTGTTTCTTCGATCTCTCAAATATAAGTAACACTCACAACGTAGCGAGCTATGTGCATTGGCTGCCAATGCTCAATTGCCCGCAAACACATCTGTCGATTGAGCGTGCATATGTTTGAAAAGTACTGGTTAGCTGTTAGTCCCTCGGCGATAGTTATAAACAATGGGGAATTTGTACTCACTGTAAAGTTCTCCTCGAGCGATGTTTCGAAAGGACAGCAGGTCACGTCGATTGATTCAGGCGTGCGGAAGTTAGACATCTCAGTCCCGAGTTCAGAGAATGCACTACTTGGCAGCTCCTGGATGCTTTTATTCTGGATCTCGACAAAGGCCCGAATACGCTCAGCACTCCAGGCTTTGTTCCCGTTGTCGGTTGGAGTTCTACTTCCCGGTCGGAACCCAGGGGCAGTGATACCCCTTGCCTGGAGTAGTTGGGTGAATATTGGCGGAGCCGCTGGATTCTGCTCAGATGCAGCTGTACCATCGGGAACAGACTGCAAAGGAAAACTCGATACGCTAGGCGCAGTCGATGTACCTGGTTGAGGGCCTGTAGTTGAGGCCACTGGCAACTGTAGATTTCCTTGAGGTATCTGCTGGCTGGGCTGGCTGGGCTGGAAGGGCTGAATGAGCTGTAACGGCTGGGGTGTGATGGTCAGGGATGAGGATTGCTGGACACCCAAATTTGCAGGAGCTGTAAACGACTGAGCAAACGAAAGAGGTCCAAACCCTGAGGATGGAATCGGGAGCGGGTCTGTGATCAGACTGGCTGTCTCTGGACCCGCAAAGCGTGCCCCTCCAGGCTGGGAATAGCCATATTGGAAAGAATTTCCTGCCATCTGCGTAGCCGAAAACATATCAAGAGGCATAGAAGCGTGGTTTCCTCTTTCCATGATCTCTGCAAAGCTAGGCCAATGTCCGGCAACGTTGTAGACCTGTTTCTCAAACGCCGTCCTTACTTCGGGTGGGGCGAGGTCATACAGCCGAGGGACGAATATGAAGAGCATCATCCACTCTTCAGCTAGAAGACCGTTTGGCAGCCAGTAACGGTGGCCAGCAGCTACCTCCATGGGTATGGCGGGTACGAAGGTGGGTATGGAACTATATTCCCAGATAGGCTCCAAATAGGAGATGATGTCTTGGCTCATCATACATGTGTAGTCGGCCTCGATGAAGGCTTTAGTGAGGATAGGTTGAGCTGTCGGGATATGGGGTTCATCAACGAAGCCGTTCCAGGAATCGAGGTTGGATGCCATGGTATCAGACGGCGACTGATCAATTAATCGAGCTGAAATGGCAGTGGCTAGTGTTCTTTGGTATTACAGTTGCCAACTCAACGCAAGGTAACTCTCTTCCGAGATAGTATAGGTGCACTGGGTTGAAGGTGAGCTATATAAGTCTGGCCAGGAAAGAAATACGAGAGGAGCGTATGCTCGAGACGAGGATCTCATGGTGAATTCCATCCGCAGCCGGTACTCAGGGCGATGGCACATTACTTTGTGCGAAGGAATCAGAATGAACCAGTACATCGTCGATTGACGATGCTTGTCAATTTCCCTGATGTAGTAGGTATGACCACTAGGATGAAATCTCCACATTCACTGCACTGACCTTGTGAACTACTAATAAGTAATTGATCAAGTTTGCTTGTACGTTGTTTTCACGACAATTGCTACACTTTTGCGCGTGTGATGACTCAATTTCCATACCATTCTGTATTGCCAATTCTTCACCCAGCTCTTGATACCCATAGATTCTCGCGCAAAAGGCGGCAACTTGAATCTATAGGGCTTCTCATCGGTTGCTTAAGGTGAATATGACTGAAATAATTCTCCAATCAGGTTGAACGCGCGGTCTGGCGCGCCTGGACAGTTTGAGATCTAGAGGCGACTTCAGAGCACAGACAACGCGACTGGATCGAATGGACCCTAGAACGTTGCTAGTAAGAACAAAGCCGCTGCGAGTCCACTCACACTACTGCTGTTTCTTCAACACTGCGAAGGCCAGGACTACACCGATAAGGCGTAATCGCAATGCCCCACGACGACTGTGTCAACCAGCTCACCAACTCGGATCACTCGAACGGGATGTCTCGGGTCACCCCAACCTCTGACAGCTTCTCGGGGCAAAGCATCAGAACGTACGGAGTGCGGGCTCGTGGAACAACAAATACAGCCGGTATGATGCGAACAATACATGCCTGTCTTTTCAATCGTTTCCGACAACACGCAGGGCGAACATGCACATACCTGTGGCCATTGGGGTGTCATGCTAAGCGAGGTCGAACGGTATATGGAACAATTCAAGCTGGAAATGCCTAAGAGACTCACTGAGGACGCCGACAAGCTGGCTATCAAGGATTTCGAGAGCATCTATGAAGCGACATCCCACTGAGAACATCCCACGAGCTCTGCACATGCGCACTCTTGGGCTCCAGGCCCATTCTATAGGGCAAACTGAGAGGACTGACTATGCGATGTATGGCATAGATGTTTGTTTACGACGGAGACGTAACGGCCAGTCAGGTTATAGAAGCCACCACTTGGTATGGATGTGTTCACGAAAGAGATCTTAATTCGAGTTTGTATTCGCAAGCGAGGCGTTTAAGGTCTGCCTGATCACTTGGCTGGCAGGCTGACAAAGATTCTGGTTAGGTATAACATGTGCCTCGGAGTTCTATACCCATATCTTTCATGATCATAGTTCGTATTCAAAACAGATGAGCCCGAGAAAGATTCTCGTTCCTATTGTCGTGTGCTGAAGCCGAAAACCTATGTTGGCGTCTCGTGTTAGCTTTTGTGGGGCAAAAGAAAGATTGTCAGTTGTTGTGAAGGTGTCTGGATCCGGGCACATCTCGTCCGTTTGGGGTTAGCGTATCTGTCTGTATAGCGATTACACCGTCATCTGCGCTTCACGATTGAGGTGGGTTTGTCTGCCCTGCTTTCCGCTCAATTTGCCATTGTATAACGCATGGTTCTCTATCTGGGCTGCATGCATGTTGCACATCAGATTGGGCACTAAATGAGGCTTTGCGTTGTCCAACCGTGCCACCCAATGCCTACTGTACGGCAGAGCGACCACGCCGCACTCGCTATCGAGGCGTGCAGTGCACATACCTGGCAAGGCAGTCTCGACATGCTGCGCACGCACGATTTTGCTTCCGGACATGATGACTTGGCCTGCGACAGCTTCACATCGATGCGCTCAGCGATGGCAGTCTATCTGAACCGTACCTACATATTTTCGTAGCATCTCTCTCAACAAGAGCTTGAAGTTTTCACTGTGTCTCATGAAACGCGGCTGGGCACGAGCAAGATAAGCTTTGCGAAGGATTAAATGATCCCAGGGGTGGTACCGTGCCGCACACAGCGATGCCGGCAACATACCAACAATTATCATGCACGAAGTACCCAGCTCGCGTAGATATAGCCAGATGTCGTCAGCTGTCCGTCAGTAGATCTCCATGCAAGATAATCAGCATGACAGCCTACCTCCAACTGCATACAACACAATCATGTCACTGTCCACACCGGCACTCACCATCCAACACTGTACGGTCCGATGTTGTCAGCACACGACTTCAACCGGTGGATTCTCATCGGCGCATTCGCGGGATGACATGTAACGGAAAGACTCCTTCCATCTTTTGCATGAACATGGGAAATGGACGACTATTAACAACATACGCGGCGCGGTCTGTTGACGAGCGAGCCGTCGTTTGTTTCCAACAGACGTGCGACGTAGAAGCCGTTTCAAGGAGTGGACATGGGTCGGGAAAAACAAACGAGCCACGCCCAACAAACAGCCTTGCTGGCCTCGTTTCCAAGGAACAAGTTCGCTGACTCTTTTCGTGCTCGGGCCTCAGATCTATAGCAACGTTGGGTCTAGCCTTACCGCATGAAGACGGCACGGTTTCAGAACTTCATGCACGCCAGCTGCGCCTGTACGCCAGACGCCGCTTTGCAGCGCGCTGTTGGTGTTATGCGCGACGCGACTGTTGCGGTTGGACGAGAGCCGCGACATCCAACACGAAAGAACACAAATTCTCGCCTATGAAACTGCGGTTAATACTTCACCTTGCTGCAAAAGCCTATTTTGCGGCAGTGACAGCTGGAGTCCGGTGACATTTGGTGGCGGATATTCGCTGCCCCGCGCTGCCCCTGGCCATCATTTTACGGCGTCGAGGGCGTCGGACCCTTAGCGTGGAGAGACCTTGCATGTCATCCCCCTGGGTAACATATAATTGCGGCCACGGCAGGTTGGAGATCGGCATAAGCATATACGCCTCTGTGTCCCCTTGGTGCCTTTCCTTGTCATACAAACATTGTTTCCCTCATATAACGGCTTTATTCGCTTCTTAACAGACATCCATTAACCCCCGGATACGGTTGCATATATCAACGATACGCTTCTCTTCTTTAGATCAAATCGCAGCTTCCATTCTCGCTATACGCAAATCTCACACTATGTCTTACCAACCACAATCGCCTAGTGGGCTTCCCAGCTCTCCACGAGCAAACCGCCAAATGCAGATGCTCTCTCCACTCGACACATCATTCCCCTCGGATTCATCGCAAACACCTTCGCCATACTCCAGCACATCCGAGAAGCAATCAGAAAAGGCCCGCGACATCTTCGCCGATGCTACCATTCCCCTCAGCCCAGCATCGTCAACAAGCTCGACTAGGAAAGCAAACCCTTACGAGGGTCTTGAACCCCGGAAGCGCAGCGGCCTCGCGCGACTTTTTTGCTGCCTTGGTCGCGAAGAGCGCGCACGACGAAGGATGAACAGGAGTTTGGAGTTTGAGAAAGTCGGCGAAGACTGCCATTGGTCGGAGTACTAAGGATACGAATTATTCGACAACATATTCGATGATGGAGATTTCGCGGCTTGCCATAATCCGCATGCATATCCGTTGCGATCTGAAACACGACATAACGGGACGTCTACCCACCGAACCTCCAAACATTTGACAGCTCGGATACCAAACGGACACCATCGGATTCCCCGGTGTCCGAGTCACGAAACAACTTGCGATACAAGAGTTAATCGCATGCTCAAACACTCACCACACAAACATTGTCTTCATACTGTCACTGCGACGTTTCTTATGTTTATATTTACAACATATTCTCGGGCGTGGATTTTCCGGTCTTTCTTTTGGCATTGCTATTGTCTGGATAGACATGCAACTGCCGCTGTTTCTCTGTCTGTTCAGCGTTGGTGTTGGGGTCATTTCTGCTATATCCGGCTCATAATCAGAGACCATTTAACACGTAAGACTGGAAAAGCCAGCGCAATCTTGTCATGCAATACGAAGGCAGATACAAAATCATTATCATGCAATATCTACGTACTGGTCCGCCGCGTCGCTCATCTCATGCTTTGCTCTCCTTTTCCACTAACCGCCTGATCAACAAACTCTTCAAACTGACACGCATCCCTCCCCAGCACCCACTCCAACACATTGCTGTTCCCCACCAGCCCTCTCGCATCATAGAACAAAATCATCCTTTCCGCCGTATCTCTACTCCGCCTATCCGCCTGCGCAGCATCTTCAAGCTTAAACAACCTCTTCAGCAGAGCATCCACCGCATCCCCAAACGCCTTCTTCTCGACCATGACCTGTTTACCAATCCTTCCCTCAACGACACGCAACGCCTCTCCACAACTGATAGGCTGATGCGTCGACGTAAGCGGATACTGCGCATAAAAATGCTTCTCTCGTTCCTCCGCCACAACCTTGAACACTTCAGCCAAGTCACTTAATGCAAGCATCGAGAACCTATTTTCCGTATTCCATAGGGCGGGATAGACCGGTTTATCCTGTTGTGCCAGCATAGCGACAGGTATGTTATCCATAAATGTGCTCGGCTGAAGAATGGTGTATGGAATCCCAGATTCCATTATCCATTCCTCGACAACTCGTTTACAGTCATGATTCAACATCTTACTGAACTGGCTGTTCAACACGCTACTCAATATGAAATGCTTGAAAACCCCGTTGCCATTAGAGTAGGCGGCAACGGCGGCGTCAATCATCATCTTGCCGATTTCTGTTTCGTGGGGGTGGTAGGAGGGGCCTATGTGGATGGCTGTGGTAACATTTTCGAGGAGCGAGGCGCAGTCTGAAGGGGAGTAAAGGTCGGCTTGGATCACTTCAGCACGGGGGTAGTCTTGTTGGAGACGGGCTTTGGAGGAGGAGGAGTGGACGGCTAGGCGGATGTTCTGCCACTCGGAGAGTAGAGGGAGGAGTTTGCCGGCTTGTTTACCGGATGCAGAGGTTATAAGGAGACGGTCTTTTGAGGGGTCTGCAGGCATAGTCGCTGTTGTGGGCTGTATGAGAAAAGACGGGTGTGGTTCGAGGGCATTGAAAGAGCTGAAGTGCAGTGCTTATACTCGTCAGATGGAGACGTGCCTTGACGTCACATTCTTACATTCTTACGTGGTGTACGTGTCCGACCTGTCCATTGGGTACCTAGGTATTGGGGAAGCGCTCACGGGAAGAGCTTACGGCATTGTTCAAGGACACAACAGGACAATGGTGTCGTCTAGCCATAGACTTTGCTGCCTTGACATTCTACAATGCCCTACACATCGACCTAACTAATCAAAAGATACTTTTATAGTATATGTAATACCTATAGTAGAGCAATAAATCAACGCGAATGCATCCCGTTTGCTGAACTTTGGGGTCATTAGGTGGATTAAGGGAGTAACTTGCGAATGTCAACAACAACATGCAGGTGTACTTCGCAGACAGCTTGAAGCACCCGTCCCCCGGACCCGTGTGCGGGGAACGTGCTCTTCAACATGGAATTTGCATTGAAGGTTTCTGCTCACGAACCAGTCGAGTTCGTTGCTCTTGCAGCTGACGTACCAAGCATAGATGCCCTCGGGCGCATCCGTCGCCGATGCCGAAGGGCAAAGGTCTGGACACGGACACGTTCGTACGAACTGTGGCTCTGTGGCTGACTCGAGGCTCTTGAATCACATGATGCTCAGAGCCTCATCCGTCACATGATTAGTATGAGGCTCTTGATGACCTTGCGCGTCGCGTTTCCCAAGCTCGGTCGAGAAATCCCTTCCTCGGCTCCTGAGCAAAATTGCCGGCTCGTCGCGCCCGTGTTTAGTGGGGAGGTCAGCGCGGGGCACCCCAGAATCGCGATGCTGAATACTCCGGATGGATGGCAATTCGCAAACAGGCTGGAATGGAAAACGTGGCCTTGGTGTCTTGGATGTTTTGGCATATGGTGCAAAAGATATAAAGACGGTCGCATGTGCTCATCCGGTCAAACGGCCATAAGCCTGCAGGCATCACGTCACCGGCATCGTCTCTAACCTTAGTCCGACAACCTCGGCTCCTTGGATTCACAGCTCCACCCTTGTCATCGCAGCCAGCGCGTGCTCATTTGGCCTCGGATCTGCTGAAGCTAGGACTCTTGATATCATATTCTGTCATTTTTCCCCTTGTTACTTTACATATCTTCATTTGTGATGTTCAGCAGAGCTGCACGCGCGCGAGCACCCGCCTCGATACTCCGCAGACCTATTTTGAACCAGTCCGCCTTTGCAAAGCCCAGAGTATGTTGTTGCTGCAGTGTAAACAGACGTATGGTGGGGGGATGTGTGCTAATATTCGACGCGCATAGATTGTCGCAATGGCGCCAGCAAGGAAACAGTCGAGTTTGCCAGCGGGTAAGTGGACACGCTCTATTCACATGCTTGAGACATTTCAGAGCTGACGACCATGTCTGCGCAGGCTACAAGGAGGACCACAGCAAAGGCGCCATGTTGCGCTTTGAAGATTCTCTCCCACGACTCCCCGTTCCTACACTAGAGGAAACCGCAAAGCGATACCTCAAGTCCGTTCACCCACTCCTCTCCCAGAACGAATTCGACGCGACCACAAAGGCTGTCAACGAATTCGTAGCCCCTGGTGGCCCTGGAGAGAAACTACAGAAGCGCTTGGTAGAGCGGAGAGAGGACCCCAAACACAGGAACTGGATCTACGAGTGGTGGAACGATGCCGCCTACATGGCCTACCGCGACCCCGTCGTGCCATACGTCAGCTACTTCTACTCGCACCGCGATGACAGGAAGAGGCGAAACCCGGCAAAGCGTGCTGCTGCCCTGTCAACAGCCGTGCTCGAATTCAAGAAGATGGTCGATGAAGGCAGTCTAGAGCCCGAGTACATGAAGAAGCTCCCCATGGCCATGAGCTCCTACGAGCACATGTTCAACTGCTGCCGTGTCCCCAAGAAGCCATCAGACACCAGCGTAAAGCACCCTTACAAGGAGAATGCGCACATCATCGCCATCAGGAAGAACCAGTTCTGGAAGATTCCCCACGAGATCAATGGAAAGCAACTCAACACTAGCGAGCTCGAGCTCCAGTTCAAGCGCGTTTACGAGAAGGCTGAAAAGGCACCCGCAGTCGGCAGCCTCACGTCTCAAAACCGTGATGTCTGGTCAGACGTATACCCCAAGCTCAAGGCTGCCTCGAGCGTCAATGCCGCAACCCTTCAGGAGATTGAAGCCGCATCATTCATCGTCTGCCTCGACGACGCTTCTCCCGTTACTCTCGAAGAGCGCGCACACCAATATTGGCACGGCGACGGCGCAAACCGCTGGTACGACAAGCCCCTCCAATTTATTGTCAACGAGAACGGTACATCAGGTTTCATGGGCGAGCACTCCATGATGGACGGTACACCCACCCACCGCCTCAACGACTATGCGAACCAGCAAATCTTCAGCAACGCCCTTCCCTTCGACGACCCCAACGTACGCTCCGACCTCCCCAACCCGAAACCCCTTCGATTCGAGATCAACAAGGAGCTGCAACAGGACATTGCCGACGCGCAAGCACATTTCGCCAGCCAGATTGGCGCACACGAGCTCAGAGTACAGGCATATCAAGGCTACGGCAAGGGCTTGATCAAGAAGTTCAAGTGCAGTCCTGACGCCTACGTACAAATGATCATCCAACTTGCATACCACAAGTTCTATGGCAAGAACCGTCCTACCTACGAATCTGCTGCTACCCGTCGCTTCCAGCAAGGCCGAACAGAGACATGCAGGACCGTCTCGGACGAGAGTGTCGCTTTCTGCAACGCCATGGCCGATGCTGACGCCTCGCCTGAGGAGTGCCAGAAAAAGTTGAGAGCGGCGCTTGATGCACACGTCAAGTACATTTCGGATGCTAGTGATGGACGTGGTGTCGACCGTCATCTTTTCGGACTGAAGAAGTGCCTCAAGGAGGGTGAGGAAGTACCTGCTCTGTACCAGGACCCAGCCTACTCATACAGCTCCACATGGTTCATTTCGAGTTCGCAGTTGTCAAGCGAGTACTTTAACGGTTACGGATGGTCGCAGGTCATCGACGACGGATGGGGCATCGCCTACATGATCAACGAGAACAGCATTCAGTTCAACGTCTGCTCAAAGGGACTCGGTTCGGTAAGTCAAGTCGTTTTCGGAATAAAGAGAATACAAGCTAACAACAAACAGGAAAAGATGAGCTTCTACCTCAACGAGGCCGCCGGTGACATGAGGGATATCATGCTGCCCACTTTGGACGCAGCAAAGGCAAAGTTGTAGGCATATTACGCCTGCGTGCTTTGTATTTTTACGGCCATAGACTTCTTCATATGCCAAATATTAACATTACAATTCCATTCTCGGACCATATCCGTAACCCTGTTTGCCCTATTTTCTTATCGTTGTCGTACCAACTAAACACCATATCATCGTGATCATACTTTATACTTTATTTTCTCCAACAGCTACATCAGCCACTCCTCCCTCTTTTTGCTGCGTCTGCGGCCTCGCTAGCCTCGCATTCTTCCTCTTCCTCCACCACACCCACCCCAGATACACCGCCATCCCTACTCCCAACACGACACCAATTGCGATACCTGCCTTCGTCCCCGGATTATCCGTATCGTGGTTCGCCTCTTCTGCAGCCTCGGCGTCTTGCCTTTCATCTTCCTCTTCTCTCGCCTCCCGTGCCCGCTGCTGTCCACTGGGTACTCCACCGGGATTTGCGGCCGAGAAGACATATTATTCGCGCGTATGCTTGCCTTTGGGCTGTGTCGCGAAGAAGACCTGACTATACGCTGTATGTTCCTGAATGTCACTATATGATGTCGACGACGCTGGTAGTATACCCGATGTGAGGGCTAGAGCACATGCGAAGAGCATTGTGTCGGGTTGTTTGTGGAACCACATGTCGAGTCCAATATCTGCAGGGCTATCAAAGAAGGAGGGGTACAACATGGCTATTTCGATGCTGGCGGTCGTGTTGTCCCGTGAATAAAGGTTTTCTTCGTTCGTGGTTTCGGTTATGTTATCTTTGGTGTTCTCGCTGTAGACCTCGTCTTCCATGTTGGCCCAATTGTTACAGTATGAAGCTGGTGACGGGGAATCGTTGTCAGAATCAATCTCGTAAGGCTCGAGACAAACGAAACAAGTTAGCACCATCGATAGTGGTTCGACGTTGCTTGTATCCATGTTGGGGCTGGTGGTCCATGTTGCTTCGATGAGATCTTCTGCTTCTGGCATAGCCTTGAGTGAAGACGCATCGCCCCAATACTGAGTATTTGGATCGTGTAGTGCATGTTCCAAGTATGTCTTCATAGTTGCATCGGAATTCAATCCAGTCAAATTCGCTGTGCCAGGAAAGGTGAACATCAACGGTCCGGTCTCGAGGGGTTTGGGCTGTTCAGCATCGATCGTGCTCTGCGGTTGTCCATCGCGATAGGTAGCGTTCCAGAAGTTGGGCGAACCGGTCACATCGCCCATGCTAAGGATGATGTCTGATATGCTCGTTCCCTCATCCTGACCGTTTTGTTGCATCTGGAAAACACACGCGAAGTCGCGGTTGCGAATTGCCTTCTGTGGATCTCCTGGTCTTCCATCGTTACCGGTCGGCATTTCGACATCTGACCCCATTCCTTCTCTTGCTACACCAACATCAATCCATACTTCCGTGGCATCGGCTCGATTGAAATCCAGACATGCATGCGAATCCTGATCACCTTGCACAGGGCATGTAAGACAGTAAACGCCCAGGATTAGGCCCTCAGTAGTGTCGATGCCAGACCAAGAGGACTGGACAATGTCTTCGCCGTGCATATATCTTGGTGCATCAGTATCGCTCTGGTGTGTCGATAGGTACTCTTCGATAGCGTATCGGGTGGTGTTGTAAGTATAGGATGCTGGAAGTGTCGAATTAGTAGGACCACCGTAAGGAAAGGTCCAGCTTATTTTCGAAGCGATGAATGCCATCTTGCCGCCTCTCGTCTAACAGGGTAAGTATGTTGTACAGTGATAGTACGACTGTAACAGTGCGAGGCGTAGGTGTAAGAGGCTACAAATTCCAACACCACATGGCATGTACATCGCGCGGGACATGTTTCAAGAAATCCAATAGAATCGCTATCGCGTGCGAGAGTCCTCGACCTTGATTTTCTATCGTCGGATCCGGACGAGAGAATGTAGTTAGCAATTCTCGCTTCTGGCTGTCTACCCACGTCACCCAAAGTGAGACTGCCTGGCACTGAGAGCTTGGCAGCTTGATGGAGATAAGCCTTGGAGCGTTCCGCTCTATTAATGTTGCAGCGTGACCGGTTACTGTATCGAACTTGGCGCTGTCCGTGCATTTTGCGGACGTTGAGTCGTTGAAACGGGATGCTTGAAATCGCGTCAGTACATGTGCAAGGTAGTCACAGCTAAGCGACAACCGGCTGGAGAATCGTAAGGAGTTGATTTTGGCATGCTAAGGTACAGATCAAAGTTTACGACATGGTAACTAAACCCAGTCCAATCCAGAACCCGTAGCTCACGTCATTATTATTGTACACACTCATAAATTCTTTTAGGAATTTATGGGTTCTGCTTGACCCACTCAACACCCTTCTTGATGTTCTTGGCGAGGTCAGCGACGCAAGCGTCGAGGAGGCTCTGCTCGTGGTCGGTGATCTTGCCGACGGGGTGGATCTTCTCAACACCGTTGGGGCCGAGCTCAACGTTGGTGGAGAAGTAGTCGCAGCCCTGGTCCTTGAACAGAGGAGAGTCGACGAAGGTGGGCTCGATGACGTTCTTCTGGCCCTGGGCAGCCTTGAGGAGCGACTCGGCGAAACGGGCACCGGCCATGGCCATGGAGAGAGTGGCAGAACCAGCACCGTCCTTGGCCTGGACGACCTCGTCACCACCGAACTGGACACGGTGGATGTAGTTCTTGAGCTGCTCGCCCTCAAGGTTGTAGCCGGATTGGGAGAGGAGGGGAACGATGGTAGCGCCGGAGTGACCGCCGATGACAGTGATGTTCTCGGTGGCGGGGTCGGTGTTCTTCAGCTGGGAGATGAAGCGAGAGGCACGGACAACGTCAAGGGTGGTGACACCAAAGAGACGCTTGGGGTTGTAGACGCCCTTGGACTTGAAGACCTCGGCGGTGATGGGAACGGTGGAGTTGACCTAAAATTGTCAAAATTCGGATTTACGCGAAAGCGGTTCGAATGAACATACGGGGTTGGAGATGATGAGGACGTTGGCCTCGGGAGCGTGGTCAGCGACGGCCTTGGCGAGGTCGCGGACGATGGAGGCGTTGGTGTTGAACAAGTCTATTCCATGATTAGTGGTGTCCAAAACATGCGCCGTTTCCATGCTCACCATCACGGGTCATGCCGGGCTTGCGGGGAACACCAGCGGGGATGACAACGATCTCAGCACCCTTGAGGGCGTCGGCGAGACCTGAGGGAGTGGCGTCATGGCCAATGACCTTGTCGTGTATCAGCAGATGGTTCGTGGATGGATTCGGAGCGTCTCTCGTACCTCGCTCTTGGTGTTGATGTGGCCAATGTCGGCAGCGACACCTATATCAAGTTTGTCAGGACTACAGCATCGCGTGTATAATTGACTGGAGCTTACCGGGAGCTAGACGGATGTCGTAGAGGGAGAGCTTGCTAACCCTGGGGTTGAGCTTGAGCAGCAGGGACAATGGCTGACCAATGCCACCAGCGGCACCGAGAACGGTGACCTTGGAGTTCTGCAGGATAAAAAGTCAGCATCTTGAGCTGCAATTGTCCCAATGGCATGGCCATCTCGCAGCGCGGCCAACCGCCCCACCAACAAAACAGTCGCGACTTCCGGGAATATGCATACCTGGCGGGCCGAGGCCGAAAAGCAGCGGCGCGAGCCCTGGAAGAAAGCTTGTCTGGCAGCGAACATGATGTCTGTGATTCGGGTGAGGAACGTGAGACTGGGTTGGACTGGATGAGAGGAGGTGGTGGTGTGGGAAAGCTGCGGGAGGTTTTGCGAATCTTGAACGTCAGTGCTTCTTCGGCTGGGCGTCGGAGCTACGGCTGACACCCGCTTTCACAAACACCTCACCCCTCCTGCCACCTTCCACCCTGAACTCTACCGCAATCGCATGCGCAATACCGAGAGTGCACTCATGATTGAGCATGCATTTCACTTTGTCATAACGCAGACATGAGGCCCCGTCGCTACGTCGTGGATTTTGAGGCCACCGAGGTATCGTTGCCCACAGCCACACTGTCACACCGTATGGCATCAAAGTGATCCCAGTGGCAGTCCATCGCGACTCCTCCGCAACGCTACACTTTGTAGACTGCATGTCTTACCATGCTGCCGAGCCAATAATGCGTCGCAGCGGTGAGTCAAGTACGCTAAGTTAGGGTTCCGTCGCGCTACCATCATACAAAGTGCCGACTTAAAGCCACACCTTGACTCACTGTGGCAGTGCATGTAGTGAATATATACCATGCATCGCGACGTACACACTTCTCTGATTCACCTTCATCAATCAATACTAGAACCATCGCTCACCGTGTGCGACTATCACAGATTCAAAAACGAAACAAATAGAGACCTTTCAAGACTTCCTCTTGAACGCCATGGCCCCTCCCGACCAAGACAAGTCATGTATTCCTGAACTCCAAGCAGCACTGGGCCCGCTGCTCCTCACACGTGCATCCCCACCAGATTTGTCGTCTCATTCCCCAGGCTCCTACACCATAGCACGCGGTTGCCCTGATAATATCCCTCCAAAGGAGCAAGTTCTACCTAAATGGACTGGCGCCTTCAAGCTCTTCGACTTTCCACGAGAGCTGCGAGATAGAATATATCACTACGTTGTCCATATCCCAGGGGGAGTACATTACACGACGCAAACCAAGAGAGACCTTCAGGACAGGCCTAGCTCCGATATCGTGAACCTCTTCCTGGTGTCCAAGCAAGTCTACTATGAAGCGTCACAGATGTTTGGCAGGAGCAACACCGTTTGGCTATCCTCTTCATACAGTCCACGCGAAGGCTACCACAAGCCACTTACCGGCCTACTTCGTCTGTTCCCTGATCCGGCAGCGGACGCATTGACGAGTGTGAGCCATGTATATCACGACACTATTGCCCGACCCCTTGGGATGTGGGGCATGGCGCCGAGCCATGACAGTATTGCTAGCGGAGGTGATGGTACAGGTCATTTTCACAAGCGTCAAAAGCCTGGAGAGACCTTCTGCGAGATTTTGAGGGATGCGCACGTCATCTCGCAACGTTTCCCAAAACTCAAGGTCTTCGACGCCGTTTGGTATGTCGGGCTTAGGTTCCACGAGTATCCCATACCAGAATGTGTTGTGCATAACATTGCAACTTTCCTGAAAGACTACGGCAGCCGGGAGGAAGCAGTGAAGATGTGGTTAGATCTTATGCGACAATGGCTACAAAAGGGCAACGTGGTCCCACTGGGGTGCGTGTGGTTTAGCGTACAAGGATATAGTACAGATGGGTTTGGGTCGGAAATGGATGAGGCGGCAAACGAGGCGTATCAGATACTGGTAAAGGAATCGAAGGATCGGGAGGATATCGAGGCCAGTGGAAAGATTTGGTTGGAAGAGATGGAAGAAGCGAGCAGGTGTAAAAGGAAAGGGAAGAGCGGAAAGAAGGCAATACAATGAGTGATCGTATTGAATACAAGGACATGACAGTGGGTCAGACTCCTTACCCAGGATTCATATGCAGCATGCTACCGAACAACTGGGACTGGTTCAGCACACTGTTTCACCAACATAGCCAAGCCCAGCGTAGTAGACTGCCACTGTGCTGCTGCTTGGTTAGAACCATTTCCCAGTGTGTTCGAGCAGACTTTCGAGCCTTTGTGCAGTATCCCAGATGCGGTGTTGTTCCTGCAGTACTATTGACTGAGCAAAAAGGATGCAATGGAGAATGTTCCTCAATCACTTCGATCACCCGCTCGCGACTAATACTACCTAGGTACGTGTATATGACATGTTCCTCACTTCACGTACGCTAGCGGGGAAGTCGGCACACTGATCTCGCAACAGAGTGAGGGGAGAGTCTTAACTCTTTGTACTTCACCATTGATAGGGCCTCTAGTAATAGGACCTGCTGCTTGAGGAATGCATGTTCCGGTCACTTGTGGCGCTGCTGCATATCTGCCCCATCTCTCTAGGCCACCTGAGCTTGCTAGTGGTCCTTATGTCACTCTGTCTCCGCTCAACAAAGCAGGCGCAGGAATGGCGGTCATCTGGCGGTCGTGTGCTGTTTAGTGCGGAGGGGACCGGGGAAGTCGACTGTGGCTTCTGTGGGCGCAACTCCATTACAAGTACTCGAATCTGGGGATCTACTAGACGGAGTAAGTCCGAGCAATGTCCTGTTTCCCCGAAGTCACATCGAACGAAAGCCGTAGACCCCTATTTGCCTGGCGCTCGCGGATCGTTTTCCGTCGGGGAGAGCAAAAAGATCCCTTCGGGAAAGATCGTAAGCTAGAGACTAACATCGCCTAACGCTGTCTCGACCGACATCACTGTGCAGCGTCAGGCCCTACCATTCACGCTTCTCCGCACGACAGTCTCTAACGGATCCGCCTGAACCGACAAACTTGACACATTTCCCAGCAGCGGTTTCGCGGGTCCACTTCCCATCCGGCGAACATTCTACCGCCAGCATAAGAACGCTCGTGCTCCCCGAGTTTCCCCAAAGAAAGCCGCGAGTCAATTTTCGACACATCTAGTCCATGCACGTTTGAGCTCAGACTACGAAAATTTCCCAGCGAATTGCGGATTCTTGACACACGAATCAAATCTTTTACCGCTTCTTTTACTCAACATCTCCCCATCATATGCGTCAAGTATATATGTAGACCCAACAGGCCTAGCGACAAAAACTTTCCACAGCGACAAACTTTCCACAGCGACAAACTTCCACAGCGACATCTTTTTCTTGATCATTGACACGCATCATTCCATAGCAACACTTCCTGAGCGACTTCCTTGCCCAGCAACCCTACTACCACAGCGACATTCCACAGCGACACATACTCCTTGCGACAACCCCAAACAACCTTTGCCAGAATAATCCACGCCCACGAAACATCATCAACAACAACAACAACAACCGCCATCATGTCCTCTACCCAAGCAACGCAACCATTCCGCTTTCTGGATCTACCTGGAGAGATTCGAAACAACATCTACGACCTTCTACTATGCTCCTGGGAAGATGAAGTCGAGCAAGACCCAAGCATGAGCAGCAAGCTGAGCCGACGCAGCCCAAGCAACCCTTCATCGTCACTTCTTCGCGCGAACAAGCAAATTTACGCAGAAGCGTCAGACTACATGATTAAGCGCAATCAATTCGTCCGCATCACCTGCCGAGGTCTGGACTCCCGGAACCTGTTTCTCGGCGAAGGTATCCCAGTAATCACAACCGATGCCCGCAAAGTGAGCCTTTTCGATGGCCACGTCATGCACATTACGCTTTCCAAGCCTGCGTTTGCGCCATCTCCATTCCAGTTCTCTGAATTCGAGATCATGATGCTCCGATCTGACTTGCCGAAGTTGTGCGAGCAGCTAGACATTGAGAGCGTAATGGCGGACGCGAACTCGACCACAAGCGAGCACGCCTCCATCAACGCAAGCATTAGGTTGAACTACGCGCACACTCGATTCTTCACCCCAAAGATCCAAGAGCGCCTGCTAGAGCCTATTGCGTCATCTCTCCGCGGTGTGCCCGATATCAAGATCTCTGGATTTGTCGATGCAGCCCTTGCGGAAAGCGTGAGGAACCAGGTCGCACAGCCCCGCTGGACAGAGCCTGACGCGACAATTGAGGAGATCGGCACCGGTGTAGATGTCGGCAAGCGCCAATGGCAGCAAAACAACTTTTACTCTGCTTCCGAATCCTGGGCTTATGCAATGCGCACTCTTGAGCGCATGCGCCACAGCTCCTCTTGGATCGGTCTGCAGAAGGCTGGTGGGGAGGACTTTGTGAACAAGACCGCCGATCTCTACTTCACCCTGAACCTTTTCCACGCCCAGTTCCTGCAAGTGGACATGGCCAACGACCAGTCTCAAGGACCTCTCGTGCAGCGAAACGGTCGCGTTGCGATCCAGCATCTGCGCAAGTGCGAGACTGCGGCTGCACGTTTTGCGCAGCACGCCGGCGCTACATGGACGCCGAGCAACCAGCAGTCGGCTAAAATGCTGTTCCGTCACGCGAGGTGCTTGAGGCTGATGCGTGACACCGCCAACAGCGTCAGAGCCGTCACCCTCATTGAGGAAGCTGCAGCGCTTGCACCCACAGACATTGCGATCCGAGATGAGAAGGACGCGGTGTTGGCGTGGGAGGCTGAGCTCGAAGAAGCACGCCGCTTGCTAGCAGAGCAGAGTCAGGCATCGCACGTTGAGAGGAGGTCGATTTGGTCCTCGGTTTGGGATGCAGTCACCGAGCTGACTTCTTGAGCAAAAGTAGCATAGCGATCTTTCTAGTTTTGATACCCAATATTCATTTTATCAGCCGCTGAGCGATACGTCGCCAGCTGTAATTACTTCTATCAAGATTCCCCCAACATGCGTGTGTGTTCGATCATCGTTGATAACTGGAGAGCCTGCGCTGGATGTTGCGTGAGTGCATGTGGCAGGCAGGGAAGGGACGGACCGCTGCCGCTCCATTAACTTCGCCAGCTGGGGTATGCATCGGCACTATGTGCCAAAAGCCGAGCGGCTGATGGCCAGTCGCAGGAGTATAAGTAGTCTCTCAGTATTCGTTTCCTCTCCTTTTTGCTCAACACCTATCTTCTATATCCTCGAAATTCAAAACGCCCATCACAAAAGGGCATGTGGCGTGGACGGTTTGGAAATCAGCTTTTGAAGTTCAAATATTGGACATGGCTCTTTCGTCGCTTACAAAAGTGTTCCAAAATGCATTCACTATCGATCCATGATCGAACTTTGGGCCTACTTTTGATTCGAAGAACTACATGGGGGAACACTATGCCCCGATCATAAAGATAAGTGCAAAAGCTTATCTCTGATGCGCTCATCCAGTCCTCCGTACACAACAAAAGTATTGTGGTTTCCAAAAGCAGTTCAACACTGACGTATGAATCCATTTCTCAAAACGTGAGTATCATCCCCATGCTTCTGTCGGATAGACAGTGAGACATATCACATGTCGAATGTCTCGCTTTGTTCCTGATAGAACTCCAACACAACCGGACAACGATCCATGGTCTGGATCCAAGTGCAATATAAACTCGTCCCACCTCTCCGTCTTCCTTTGATCACAAACTTCACATACATTCACAAAATTGTCAAAGCTGATATGCTATGTTGCGGCTTCTCCTGGCAAAGTCATTCCAAACCACAATGAGAACAGCAGCATGTCCGCGGGACAATCAACTCCGCTAATTAAAAGCCTACCCTGGAGCCTATTTTTGAGGTGTATTATCACAAAACCATGTACGGCCTGTATCATGTGGAGAACTTCTCCAGTAGCTCGAACTAGCAGAGACCGAGGTGCTGTGTGACGGACACAGAGAGCGTTGCATTTCTCATATAGTGTGGCTATCATGTGGCCCAGAGATGTTCACCGTATTGTATCGGATTTGTCAATGAGGTTGGATGTTGCCTACATCTTCGAGGTACACTCACGGTGTGTTACATATCAGCGACCAGGGGCTCTTTTAGAGACGGCATTTTCATACGTCTCAGTGCGCGCATGATGTACAGCAACGAAAACCTTCGAGACTCTTGGTTGGCGAACCATCCGCTTGTTATCCGCGCGACCGAAACCGTCGAATATAAGTTCCCATCATTCATTGTCTTTTCTCTTGCATTCCATTGTTGCGATATTCCAAAAACAAAAAAGCAAGCTGACGTTCTCATGGCGTGCTGTGGCCGGCATTCAAAAAGGCACACCGTACTGTCACATGAGTATACCTTTCTCTGGTCAATTGAAGCATCCATCACTGTTGTATTCAAGCAGATATAGATGTCCAGGCTCAAGCTTCTGCACCTGTATTACTTGTATTCTCTATATACTCTCTGCTAGAGATTTTGAGAGGTGCATCATTCTCCAGCATGGTGGTAGCCGAGCAAAGTGTACCAAAATGCTATGTAAACCAAAGCATGATTGCGGGCGTCGAGATGTTCAAGCTGCTTATCAAGCTCTGGTAGGATGCGTCTCGCTCTTCCTGCCCTCGCTGTTCTTGTCGCTTTGGGAACTGCGGAGTTTTTGATCTATAACTTCACCAAGAACATTGTTAACGAATTCAACCCACAAAATCAACACTACCCGCCCATAAGCCCATAATCCAAGATTCCTTTCTCGTATCTACTCCAAGAAGAAGACGATGAACTCTTGGACAGTTCGTCTGCTTATCATGACGTCAGCAACAGCACACACCTCGCTTGTAACAAAAAACGCGAGCAGTTGAGGGTGACACGCGCCATGCAAGTGCGACGAAGGAAAGTGTGGCTCACATGGAGCAGTAGGCCTAGTACATGTTTTTTGGGGACCAACGGCGCCTTCTCCACTCCACTGTTCATGTTGGGTTACAAACTGCCCACACTGAACCAAAGTATGCTAAGCCTCTGGGTGGGAGACAAGGGTTTGGATATTTAACCGGTAAACAATGGTCCTTCTATAGAGAAGTCTACACGTCACTCTTCGGACAACTACTCTTGCAACTGTCAGCCGAGTGCCTCCGAGGCTCGGATAATCTTCTATTGCAATGGTTCGGTTACGACCAAGGACTTGTTTATCTAGGAGTTAGCAGAAGGAATGACAGGACGCTGCTCTAGAGAAGGTTGGGCCAAAATCTCGTTGCTGGTTGCGCTTGCGTCTATGATTCGACTCCTCTTACAGAATTTGTGTCATGGTTCATATGTGTCGAGGATGAAACTTTCTAGTCAACGTGTAAGACCTAGCTGAGCAAGAATACACAGTATCAAACAATTCATCTAGTGGACGTTGCCCATCTTCTGCCTGCACTATTTGCCAATATCGCCATCTCTTCACATGGTGCAGGCTTTCGGTACAGCGGATATCAACATCCTTCTCTTACGTGGTCCCCAAGCGCTGAGCTCTCTTGGACATGCTCGTCCACGGATATAAGCCGGAAGCTGCTCCGCGGAGTGCCTTGGCGATCTGCCCTCAGTGCATTCTGCGAATCCAGCATCCTTTGCTTCTTAGGGCCAATGCTATGAGATGTGCCATAGGCTTGGAGTGTCTCGTCGAGGTGGGGGAGACTGGCGATGTCGGGCTTATATGTTGTGCGTAGTCCTCGTTGTCTGATCGCTCGCCCTCCAACGTCTTCCACGTCTTCGCCAGTATCGTATCATCTTGAATCCGCCAACAGCCGAACTATGTGCTCTATGCATCCATCCAGGTTTTGAGTAAGGTAGCTCCGAAGCTCCCTGTAATGGCTGGTGATGACATGACTAATGTTTCAAGGTAGCAAAATCAGCTACGCGCAAGATGACAGAAATCGTTATCGAAACTACTGGCAAGCACCACACAGTCTGCGATGTGCTGTCGAGAGATGTAGGAGATAAGGAGGACTGAGAGAAAGAAGAAGTGTTCGTGCGTTTTGGCGATGGAGACCACCCGTTCCTTACACCGCGCAGATAACGTCATAACCTTCCTTACTACGAACCTCGCCGCGTATCGCCAACGCCGCATTCTCACCCTCTCCATGCATCGACCTGTTCTTCCAACGATTCCATCGATTGTTTGCTGTCGCTATGGCTCATCGAGGAATTGTTTTCCCGCATCAAAAGGCATATTGCCCAAATTACCTCGGACGAACGGCACAGTGGATACTGCGGCTAGTTTGTGGCTGTCAGCCTCATTGCGATTCCCGAGGTTGCGACAGCTGCCAAAACCACAACTCCTGCTAGGCTTCACTAACACCTTCGGCATAGTTTACACAAACAAGTTGGCCATGCAAAACAGGTATGTACAATTCAAAGGTCCACATGTCATATGATGCATGGTCATTGACCTTCTATGGAACCCACATTACTCATCATTAATTCATAGAAGATTGAACAAGTCACCCACAATTTTGGGTATAAGTTTTGAAAGAACTACTGGTATATCGATTGCGAGAGCCGATGTCGAAAACACAATTACACAATGACACCACCGACGCTTAGGTAGTGTAGTAGAAGTCCGGTCGTACGTCACCCATGTCATCGATCTCGTCCTCGGTCTTGCCCTGCACCCAGTGGTCGCGCTTACCCTCCTTCCTGAGCTTGTTCTCACGCTTCAGCATGACGTGCATGAAGAGAGTTCCACCGAACAAGAACAAGAACATGTAGGCAAGGACGATACCGTGGCCAGTGCGGTAGTGTGGGGCCTCCCACTTGTTGTAAATGTTGGAGGACACGACACCGTTCATGTTACCCCAGCCGACAACGACACCAACCATGACACCACGCTTGAGCGAACCCTCGACGTTGTTGGAAGCCCATGTCAGCGTGTTGGAAACTGTGGGGTAGATACCCATGGCGCCTAAGAAAGTGGCAGCGTACTGGACATGCGGGTTCGTGGTGGCGAGCAACATTGCGAAACCGATGCATCCAATCAAAGACACGGCCATGTTGCAGATACCGCGCAACTTTGTCCTATCGGCGATCCAACCGACAGCAACCGTCAAAGCGGCAGCACAGGCGTAAGGTGGGACGGACAAAAGCTGAGCCTTTGTGCCTTTGTGACCCATGGCGAGAAGGATAGTCGGGAGGAAGAGCGAGAAAACGTACAATGGGCAAAGGCAACCCATGTAGATGACAGCATACCCCCAGGTCTTCCAGTCGCGAAGGGCGGCAAATACATGTCGACGGTCGATGCTTCCAACCTTGGCGCGGGCCTGTCCATCCAGCTTGAGTCGGCGTACAGCTCGTAGCTTCTCTTCGGGGTTAAGGAATCGGGCCGTGTCCGGGAAGTCGAAAACCATCCACCAACAGAAGACACCGACAAAGACTGTCATCAGACCCTCAATGATGACTATTCAGATTAGCAAAAGTAACATGGTTAGGATGTGGGAACATACAGATCCATCGCCAACCTTCGTAACCGCCTACTCCGTCCATCCCAGTGATAGCGGCGGCCAGCAAACCACCGAAAGAACCAGCGAGTGCTGCGGCGGAGAAGAACAGGGCGGCACGGAAACCAAGTTCCTGGCGCTTGTACCAGCAGCTGTCGCATTGTTAGCATGACGTCCGGCTCCATGACAGAGTAACTTACGAAAGGTAGTAGTTGACACCAGGAAACAGACCCGCCTCGGCGATTCCGAGGAAGAACCGACATGCCAATAGACCGGCCCTGTTGTGGACAACACCCATGAGCGTCATGATGACACCCCAGGCGAGAATGATGGCGGTGAAGAAGACACGGGGCGACCATTTCTTGATAGCGATGTTGGTAAGTGGCTCGAACCCGGCGTAGGAGATGAAGA